GTGTTGGCTTAGAGGAGGCCGCTTTAGTTATTATACACGTCTTAGTGGAGCGCGCGGTTAGGTTTTGTAGCTTGTTCAGCCACAGGAAATCCCACAAATCCGTTACTTTTAAGCGATGCGGTAAACTTGCCAATCAAGTGTGGGGCACCCGCAGGGTTTGCCCGAAACTGCGTCAGAACCCCGCAGCGCCTCGCTCTTCGAAAAAGAAAACCCTAAAGCCCAAACCCCTGCACCCCCACGCCCCAACCCAAGCAAGAGAGCGAGCTTCATATACATCTTTGACGAGATGCTGATTGTCATGGATACCCTTCGTTTCCCGCCAAACACAACAAACATCTGTCACAGCGAGACGTCAAATTCGCATGTGCGTATGTTGCTGGTTACAGATCAGTGTAAATGGTCTCAGCTTCCGATACTTGCGCTGGTATGTACGAACCTACCATTACTATGAGAACCATAGCACTGATAAGTCGTCATACAAGCAAAACAAGAACATCTTCTACTTTACCAAAGAAATAACAGAAAAATGCATAACACATCACAACAACATGAGCAGGAGACATGCCCGGAAAAGGAAAATACCATTCATGTGTAAGGCATGACCGTTGCAAGAACTTAATTACATATTATTCTCATGTGGGCGAAAGTTGAGCTAAGACGGATACTAATTCGAGTAGCAAATGTGGGCACCAAAAAAGGTAGCAATAAGAGCGACACAAATCATGCAGTGATTTGTAAAAAAGCCTGAATAATAACAAAAAGCTGGAAACCTTAATCCAATATAGGTTGATGGCAGCAGACAGCAAAGCTACATGAATAGTCATAGCTGCAATATGGGTCAAAATACAAGGAGAATTAAACAGCTTGTGAAAACGTGCGGAAAAAACGTGCACTGATGGAACAAATGATCACAACCTTATTAAGCAAGAATAAGGGCAGTGATTAAAATAACGACAAACACCAAAAACAAAAGCGAAGAAACTAGAAGAGATAATTAGCTGATATGTGCAGCCATGGTGTGATAAGTAGCAGAACAAATTATAGCTATTCTAGCACCAACCGGACGAGTAGTAATATAGCAGTAGTGATACTGATAATGGTGGTGATAGTAGTAATCAAGCTAAGAATAACAGAAACCGTGATACTAATCATAACGGATGGGTAGCGTGAACAGCAGCTGCAGCCCAAATCGCAACAGTATCAATGCAAATGTAAAATTAGTAGCACAAAAACGGTGTTGATATTCAAAACCAATAGCACCATTGATAGCCATGGAAATATTTACAATGGTAGTGACACTCAAAGAAGACGGGAATGTGATAGCGCGTAACCATAGCAAAGCAAGTCGAACGGGTAAGCACAAATATTACCCGCAACTTGAAAAATAATCCGAGGAGAACAAAACGACAACATGGATAGGAACAAACGACAATATGGATAGGGGTCGGAGACACAAACAGAAACTATAATAGTAGTAGAATTAGTGGCAAAAGTTACTAAAACAGTGATACAAGAAATAGTGCCGTAGAAATAAGAAAGACAGTAGTACCTGTAAACCAAGACTGGGCATTTCGCAACCGGCCATGGTGCTGGCACTAATCATAGTACCTATGTGGTACTTAGAAGCTAACAAAAGACAAAGAATAGTCATTGACCCATCGACAATTACTATTGAAACTATTGGCTTATGGGATCTAAGTAATGGCCTACAGTTGGTCAACGTAGTAGTGATGCAAGCAGTAGCCACAGCAATCGTGATAGAAATAAGTATCATGTTGGCAATGCGATAAATATGGTATAATATAGCACCCATAAAAATAATCGTAATACTAATAGTAAAAACAGTGTAGCTATTTGCCACCCAAGAAACAGTAATCAGTAATCTTAATAATAAGGAGGATAGCTACAACAAAAATTATACCAAATTATGCCAGTAATGAAACTAAGCACGGCAACAAACATGATAGCAAAAATAAGAAGAAAGACAACACTATAAAAATGATCATACAGGTTACTTGTATATCACAGTGCTCACATAATGTTGCTTTTTATAACTAACAATGCAAGGTAATACCATGGGTGCCAATCTACAATACGAGCCGTTTGTGATAACATTAAAGTATGAGTTTTATTACCAGTACTTCTGCGTTTATTACTGTTAAAATTAATCGTAGTAGTAGTAGCACTATTGTTTATAAATACGAATGGTACACAAACTAGTATGAATATAACATAAATATTCGTAAAAATTTTAGTATGAACATTAGAACTATTATTTGTAGTGAATAAATAACATCAGTACGAGTACTAATACGAGTACTAGTCTTGAGAATTATATTTGTACTGAATAAAAAATATGAATACTAGCACTAGAATTACTTTTCGGTAATAGTTTTCTTAGCATTATTGGTACTAGTATTAACATGATTAGTGATACTAGTATTCGTGGTCCGAATATTAGTAGTAATAACTGTTTGTAAAAATATATTAGTAACTAGTAGTCTTAGTATGAGTATCTAGACCTAGTTGTTTTTGACGAGGGTTCGGAGGGGGGTCAGGGGAACACCGCGGGGTTCGACGAAGTTCGGCGGAGGCGGTGTCTCTTGCTTGGCTTTTGTGTTCCCTTGATACTTAATTGTTCAATCTGGCAGCTAGCAAATCGGAATCTTGCGCGGGAGAGGGTGGTTCGGTTTCAAGAGTTTTACTTATCTCTATTTTGGATTGCGAAGTTTCCGGAAACTCCGTCTTTATCAGGGGGGGTTCGTCATCGGTTCTTACGCTCTCGGCAGGGTTAGGTCTTGCCTCCTGAAATTAACACATCTATAAACACATCACAGTCTTATACTGTAGGACTGACTACTCAACCCAATAACCTTCAATACCAATGGCCAATAATATCAGTTCAATACCACGTAACTAGTTGCTCGCTGGAAAAATAAACTTACTCTGCATTGACCCTCCTATGCAATCTTGCGACCACCTGGTCGGCAGCCTGATGGACGTCTATTGATCTTACATCTTACTCCCCCTACCGTCTGCCCATGTAGTGACTTTGCTATCTCTCAATCGTACGACCTCACGGCCGGCGCCCAAATGGACGTCTTGCTAATTCTTGCCGTGCTACGACTAGGCTTCCCAGCTGATGTTCGTACGTCCGATGGACGTCTTGCAAAAACGGGCGCGACCCCCCGGTACCTTAAGTGTCGCTCCTAGGCCGGGGCACGACCTCACGGTCAGCCCATGTACTCCCGGGCTCCCAGCAGCACCATGATCTTGTGCAAAACGTGAATGCTCTCTTGCTTGGGCTGGGCTTGCGGGTTCAGGAGGGCTGCATCGTGGGGTTGGTTTCTTTTCGTTTTGGGTCTTTGGGGATAGGGTTCTTGCAATGGCATAAAACTCGGGCCAAACCCTCGGGGAATCCAAACCCCAAACCCTGACAACTGAAGCGAAGCCGAAGTCCTGGAACCTTCCCCCCTTTCCCAAAAAGACACAGCAGCACAAATGATGATGATGACGATGATGATGGTGAGTATTGTATATGTGCACATTATTATTTGTTGTTGCTATTAACTACATTTTGTCATGATAGCAGTAACAAATTAGTTGCTTAAGCCTCTGGCTACACTCCTGTCAAGTTTGTTCTGTCGACTCAACTTTTGTTTTTTGTTCTGGTTAATAGTATAGGGACGATCGTAATGTTATTGTATTCAATGTTGCTGAAACATGCTGAATATAAAACAGCATATTGTTCTTGCTAGCCGGTATTCAAGACTACAACAAGCACAAGCACTAATAATCTAGCTAAGTCAAACTGTGTAATTAATTATTCATGACCTACACGGTAATATTTTTTGATTGGTTTTGATATCATATACGTACACAAGTTCATAAAATTACTCTGTTATACATAACCGCTCAAAGTAAAATAAATGAATATCCAGGACACACATGTTCCGCGTCCAAATTGATCAATCAGGTTGCTGGGCTTTTATTATTAGTACTATTAAAATATGACTTGGGACAGTACCTGATGATATGCAGGCCCCTGTGAGAAATAGTGTGCTGATGATGAGTTTTAAAAGACTTTTAGTTTAAATTGTTATCATTAGCGATAGCAGCAATAATAAGGAATAAATAAACAACAATATACTTTCTTGACAATAGCCTTTATGAACATTGAATGTTAATAAGTACCTCTGAACAACACACTAAGAAGTCTTGCGCAAGGTAACTGTTTATTACAGGATTCACATATTTTTCATTTATGACTAATAATACAAAACGTTACTTTGAATGCAAACCTATACTATGAGCCATTTGTTATAACATTAAGGTATGCATAATAATGCGAATATTTACGACTAGTTTATGAATGTTTAACAGTCATCGTAATATTAGTACCGTAATCTATGAATATAAACATTCATATGAATAACAGCATAAATATTGGAATCAAAAATGGCACTACATAAACAACATTAGTACTTGTATTAGTATTATTAATTATTGTAATAGTATTCTTAGTTATTATTATAAGTAGTATTAATATCATTAGTGCTAGTATTCATATAAGTAGTAAGAGTTGTTTACATAAATATAGTATTCGTATTAAAAGTATTGGTATTAGTATTAGCATTAGTATGAATATTAGTATCAGTATCAGTATTAGTATTAGTATTAGTATTAGGCAATAGTAATAGTATTAGTATTAATAGTACTAGACAAGGGCTCAGACAAGGGTTTGAAGGAGGTTCGGCGAGGGTTCGGCGAACGCCGGCGGGGTTCGACGAACTTCGGGCGAAGGGTCGGGTCTTGCCTTTCCAGAGTGTTGCCCCCTTCTGTGTTGCCCTGATTTATAGAGTTTAGTATACGGAACTTGTTGTCAGTGCATGGGTGAGAGGTCTGGCAGGCTGGAGGCCTTCGAGCCCTTCGGGCGAGTGCGAAATATTGCCCCCGCGCAAGCAACCTCTCGCTCGGATTCAGCAACCTTGGGCGCTGACCTCGTCCGCTTGCACGGATGCACCTTGGTCGTGCATGAGGTCTGGGATCAGAGTGTTCGCCAAGCATGATGCGGGGAACTGTGGCTGATGCTTTCCAGAAAACAGCTGTGCCCGAGTAGCCGGAAATATGCCAATTCTACATCCACGGGAAAAGAATGCAAGAAGACAGCTCGACATGTTTGTTACTTTGAAAAAGACACTTCCGATCTATAGCCACCTCGGATTGACAAAGCGACAGCACCAGCAGCGGCAATCGCAAAGAGAACAATAACACCAGCACCTGCAACGAAAACAATCACCATTACGCTCTCGCAACTCGGACAAGCCAGACGAGGTTCTTGGTGCGCGTCGGTTCTCGCCAGGTCATTCTAGTCCCCCATGCAAGCAAGCACCCCAACAGAAGGTAAAGCCACTCACTACGGGGACCAGAACCCCAGGCCCTAATTAAGTCTCAGAGCGACCACCTCTCGTGGCCAGTATTTACATCAGCTCACTATACTACTCAAGTACGTTTCGCTACAATAGAACCTCCTCAGCATCAAGTAGGAGCGTGCTGCAAGAAGGACAAAGAGCAAGCTCCCCTTCAAGGTGCTTGCAGCCGCAGCAATTCTTGTATTTCATGAACCTTGTTTAAGAGAATCTCGGTCGAGGATCCCGTCTGTTTTCGGGGGTATTTCTACAGATCAGAACCCTCGCGCTAGACTCCTCAATCTGGAGCTACGAAATGCCCATAGAAATTTGCTCAGCTTGCGCCGGGCTGCGTCTGTCTCGCTCCTCGATCTCGGTCCGTTGCTGGGACAGGGCGGCCTGAGGACAACGACTCATGACGATTCGCTTCTTGAAAAGCAACACCTGGGAACAGCGCTGCAGCCAAGTAGGCTATCGGCATCCTATCTTGTCTACACTCGGAGAGAAAGAGAAATCCGTCGCTCCCAATAATGGCGGTGATGGATACAACATGAAAAAGGTCGCTCCCCCCCTATGTCTCTGCCTTGCAGGCTCTCAGAAATGTGAACCTTTCACAAATTCTAACCTTATACCCAAGTTGATCCAAGTTGTGGCATGTTCTCCTCGCCTTTGCAGCCGAGATGTCGGCTTGCAGGCTTTGTCGCTCCCGCTCGAAGTCTGCCACCAACTGGTCGAGAACCCCCTGCTTGGCCTCGAGCCTTTCTTCTGCATCCGCTCTGAGGTCCTCGATGGTGGAGATGTGCTCGTCCCGTTCTTGCAGCTTCTGCAACATCTCCCGCCGGAGGCTTTCTGTGTCGCTGGTCAACTGCTTCCGAGCCTGGACAGCACCTGCGTGTTCTGTCTGCAGTTGCTTATGCTCCCTTTGCAGGGACTTGTGGGCCTGTTGCAGCTCTGTATGCTGCTGCTGCAAGCTGCCGTGTTCTTGCTGCAGCTTCATCAGCTGCACCTCGCGGGCCTCGCAGTCTGCGCGACTGCTCTCCAGCTTCCGCTCAAGCTCCACTTGTTGATCCCGGGCTGTCTGGATGGTACTCTCCAAAGCATCCCGAGCCAGCAGACTGCTACTGGCCTCCTGCTGGACTTTCTCGTGCTCTGCCTCCAGCTGGGCATACTTCACGGACAGATCATTCAATTTCTGCTGCTGCAACAGCTTGCCCCCTCTCTCACGCAGCTTCTCTTGCTGCTCCGTTCGAAGCTCATCCGTCCTCCTGGCCATCTCATTTTTGATGGCCTCCAGCTCCTGCTGGTGCTGCTGCGCAAGCCCGCCTGCATGCTCCTCCAGCAGACGGCTCGCCTGTACCAGCACCAGGAAGTCGGATGATGAGCATTCAAACACCTGGCAGAGAAGACACGGAGCGGACGCAGAGCAAGTGCATCTAACTTCTCAGCTAACGGGGGCGTGCCAGCTCTGCTAAACATTCAGCCTCGAGCTCGGGGGCACAGGTCACCGGGTGGTCCCTTGGGCATGGACCTGCTGTCACGTTGGAGCAACCCAGCACTGCTGCACAAGTCCACAAGCGATGGAGGCCTCCGGTTTTCTTGTGTTGCGCATCTCCAAACGCTCGGGAGACGGCCAAGGTTCCATTCACCCTCGCCACTCCCTCCACCTCAGCTTGCATCTGCCACCCTTCCCATCAGAATGCGGCATGCTAAGTGTAAGCCGCACGCTTCCTGCACAATCCCGCCGGTCCGCTGGATCCGCAACCGTTCGCTTTTCAGGTCTGGCTTGTGATCCTGCGCAAGTAAGCATGATCCGCAACGGCAAACAGCGTGAGCCTAGTATGTGTGCATGCTTTCATGGAGCTTCACAAGGGTCCGTGGTGAGTCCACGGTCCGTCCCAGGCCCACGGAACATTGAACCGTCTGCACTTCCCAAAAGCACACGACTGTCGCCAAAATTTCCGACTCGGAGGTGGTACATGCCTGAGCCAAACCATTGCAGATGGAGCTAGACCTTACACGGCCTAGAATTCAAGTCGGCATGTGTGAGTGCCAAATGCCAGCCGGCTTGCCCCCATGTCTTGATTGGCGTTGGGCGATGACAAGAGTTGTGGTGGATCCACCAGCTTGTTGAGTGTCGAGAAACTCCCTGTCCAGGCGAAGAAATGCCAAGTTCGTCACGGCATCATCCGTACGTGGCATGCCGTTCTTGGCCAACTCTTCCTTCATGCGCCGGGAGATGAAACCAGAGCATGCGTCTCCTCCGTGACTATCGAATATCACACACACACACACGCACACATTTGTGAACATCGCTTCTGAAACGATTACCACCAACTTCAAGAAACCACAACATCGATCCCAATATGCTTCCAATTTCGACACCCCGAAGGAGACTGGGCGTGGGTTCCAACTCTATGTCCATGATGATCTTTCACTTTGCGAGTGCAGCTGCCATACACGCTGTGTAGATGCTGTTGGATTGGGCTGTTGGCGAGGTTGAGTGTGCGCTAGGGTAGGATGCAGAGCCGCATGAAGCACAGGAATCGAGAGTGTGCTCAATGTGTGAGAACATGTGCATGCAGGAGCGGCTGGGCTTACGCAGGGTCCCCGCCGATGCAATGAACTAGTAACTGGATTTCGCCTTAGACTTCATCCCGCAAATGCCCTCCTGCAACCCTACCCCCCCACACACACACTCATAGACTCATAGCTGCAGCTGCTCTCCACTGACCTTCACACTTAACCTCACGCTTCACCTGATGCTCCACCTCGCATGTCAGCCAGACTTCACTGCACACTTCAGCTCACACCCAATCCCCCGGCAACTTTCTGAAGTGCTTTTCCAGTTACACAACACACTTCAAAAGTTGCGATCTACAGTGTGTACCCGTAAAATACCTAGCCAGCGCAAACTCGGAGCCAAGCGAAGGCCTGCCGCACTCGTCCATTGCTTGGCAGGAAAAATGGGGACGCCTCGGACCACACTGACAGGAGCTGCAAAGCCAAAACAAAATGACATGGGAGTGTTTAAACAATTTTCAGGAGTGCAGGGTCCAGTGGGCGAACCACACTGGAGTCTGCGACCTGGGACCACGACAGCCTGATGGATCCACGCGCCTTGCCAAAGCAGTGCTAGGACTTCATGGATGTATGGGAGTCCCCGGCTTTCCACATTGACAGAAAAGGATGGAAAAGGGTTAAGGACCCCAATTGCTGAGACTCCAGGCGGCTCTCCTCTTTCTTTCCATCAACTTCAGCGCGTGCCGGCACTGCTGGCCAAGTTCTGACATCAACGTCCGCTTTCGGCGAACCAGCGTTCAGTGTTAATTACTGAGATTACTGCATGCTATATGTAATGTACTGCCAGTTGCAGTTGCTGGCACGACTCATCATGACACTCACGTCATTCCAACTCCAGCTGCTCGTTGCTGCATTCCAACATTGGCTTCTTTGCCTTTTTCCTGAATGACAGCTCTAGCATGTACCGATTGGCAGGCAAAACGCTCTTGGCCGTCTCCTGCACGCCAACGTCATCCAGAAACTGCTTGGCTGCAGACTGCTCGGCTGGCTTTTTGGCCTTGCAAACCTCGCCCTCGAACTTCTTGCCACTCCAATCATGTGTAGTCCGAGCATCGATGCCGCCGCATACCAGCACGGATCGGAAACCGCCTTCTGATTTCGTGGTATCATAGCCACTGGTGTCCTCGCCATGCACACGCTGCAAGAAGTGTGTCACCAGGCGCTTCGGGCTGCAGGCTGGGCTCTCCAGATCAATGCCCCTGGCCTTTGCCTTCTCCTCCAGTTTTGCCGGCCCGGTCATCGGCATGCGGGCCAACGCGCTATGGCACAGCCTGCTAACCACCCGCTTTAACCTCTTGAGCTTCGTAAAGAAACCCCAGGGCACGCCTGAGCCGACATCTCATGAAAGGCTTGACTCTACGTTTTTGAATGTTCAACTGACGCAGGCGTCGAGAGTACGAACAGCCGCAGACCGCTCATCAATCCAAGGTGCCCCGCCTACCACATACACAAAGGCCCAAGCACGCCTTGAACTGTAGCAACTGCCCTTAAGGATATCGCAATATCGCACGTCATGGTGCGCTACTCTCCTCTTCGATTGCGAGCGCTGCTCTTGAATGGACACTTTCTTAGGGCCGCGGCCTGGAGGTAGCTCGGAGGCTCAGCAGAACACGACGAGGCCTGAAACGACCAAAGTGCTCTGCAGTGTCGGGCTCGCAGCCAGCGAATGAAGCAAAAATGCGTTGCTATGCTGCACTTGCTCTGCGCGTTTCTACTCGCTGCCGCTACCTTGTCAGAGCCAGGCAACGTGGGCCCTGCCTGGACATGATCTCGCTTTGGTGGGCATTCCTTGCACTCCAGACGTTTCTACAATACCACGGCAGCGCTCAAAATTCACGTGGCCACCACAAACATTTTCAGGTCAGGCAGACTCCTCTGTTTTGAGGGGTGCAACATGGTGACTAGCATTTAGCTCCATATCGGCATGCAGCGCGAAGCAAGCACCGCAGACCTGGCACTGCATGGGTCGGCCGGGATCCTTCCAAGAGTCCGTTTAAGGTACAGTTTGATGAAACGCGGGAACTGTTGACCTATTACTGCAAAGCTGGCTGTGACTCAAGAGCTCTGTTTACACATTGCGGTTCGAACAGCAAGTATGCACATATACTCGCATCACCTTGGCCAGGATATGTATGCGCCCCGAGAGAATTCACAATTGTCCATCGATGACCCAACTTTTGGGGCATCAAAGCTGCCCCCCCTTGATTTTATTCCGAGATCAAATGCCGAAAAGACCGGAGAGATCGGAAAAGGCTGAGACCGGCGCGTAGGAGCCGGAGATGGCCACCGCGGAACCGAAGCGGCCGAAGGGCACCGCGTCGCTGGCCGTCAGCTTCGCCCGACCCGGGATCGACGAATTTTTGGCCTTTTGGCACTCCGAGGCTTCCCAGGGCGGGTTCAGGCGCTGCGGGGTGAGGCTTCGGGGTCGGATTAGGACTCAGCCTTTGGGAAACCTCGAGAAGAAGCCGAGTTGTCGCATTCACAAGTTCTTCATGCATCCACTATTTGATCTGACAGAGATGGTGCACGACCAGCGTTTTTGAAACCCTGCTGGAACATGAAACCACGGTAAGCGATCTGAACATTCAGTCAGAACTCTGAGCAGACACGATACATGTAAAGATGGTTTTTGGAATGCCTGCAACACGCTTGCAGCCCCCCGCCTCCTGCGACCACCCTGTTCCCGTGTTGTGACGAAACACCTAGGCCGCGCCTGGCGCCAGAAAAGAGAGACCGGGCCTTACAAAACCCTGTGCAACCCGGGCCCAAAGCTCCGAGGCCCCGACCGCTGCCGGGGCCGCCGATACCAGTGTGCCGGTCTGTGCCCACCTCAGAAAGGCCGAGGCGGAGCAAGGCGGAGCCGTGTAGAAACGCACTTCAGGCCAGGAGGGCCAGCGAACGAAAATGAAGTCCAGAGTCACAGGCACATCAAGGAGGCTTTGCAGCTTTGGTGGGGCCGCAGCCAGCACGTGGCCATCCTCTGTGACGGCCACGGCCAGGCCGAAGCGATCTCCGGCGATTGTGTCGTTGGCGAGCAGCTTTCCCTCTCATCAATGGGCTGGGCCCGTCCGGTGAGCAAAGGCGCTCCAAACAGCTCCGCACCTGCTGCCAGCCCGAGCTTCTGGTGAAGATGTAGGCAGACCTCCCACAGACTAGTCTCTCAGCACTTCTCACAAGTGCCAAGTCAGAGTGCCCGGACCCCGTCTCTGAGAGGGAGTTCACGTCGTGGCCGCTGGCCACCACCACGAGGTAATCGCCTCTTCAGCCGAACTCTTTTGAGGCTTCCCTCGGCAAAGACGCCCCAAAACCGAACCGCCTGACAGCTTCAGCGAGCTCCCAAAGCGGTCGCCGACGGCCTCAGGAACGATCAGAGCAAGGCAGTGACAAGGATAAGAACAAATCAAAGACCCAACATTGGACTTCTTGAAACTTAAACCGAAGATCATGCTGACTCCGCGTTTATAGTCTGCCGAGTGACGGCGTCGGAGGGCACGAGCCGCGCCTCTCGGAGCCACCCTGCACTCCTGGCAAACTCACATTATTTCAACACGACGGAAGGCCGGCTGGCATGCGTCACTCCCACAGGCCAGGAGGGCAGCGAATAGACGTAGACCACCCCGGAACCTTCTGCCGGAGCACCGACCACCAGCGCATCACCTGAAAGTCTGAAAGCGATTGGCTCGGCAGCGCATGCACACATGTGTGGCAACCTGGATTCACGAAGCAAAGTTGCAAAATGGTCCGAAATTGCTGTCCAAGGGTCCTACTAACGCAAGAACTGCGGGAGCAGTATGACCCCGAAATGCGAACCACACTCTGGTGGGAGCTCGAGCAGCTCGATTAGCATGCGGCACTTTGGGGGGATATGAAAGCAGCTGGCTGGCCGGGTCACCCGAGATAGTGATGGACTGGGCGTACCCCTCCTCGCTGTTGCGCAGCATTGCTGCCTGCGGATCTGAATGTGTTGTTGTAGCCACAGTGCCGATGGAAAAAAACATGTCTGGCCTCGCAAGTGGCTTGGTAAACGGCAAGAGCACCAAGTGGCAGTAGGGCTTCAACCAGAACCGAGTTCGAGCCTTTTGAAGGCGGCGCGTGGAGTCTTAAATCCGGGGATTCAAAGTCCTGTGGTTGCATCAGATGGCCGGCGAAAACCCAGCACCGTTCAATCAAAGAACGCGGTTGAAATACCTCAAGTGCCGTGGTGTTTCCATCAACGAACCCCGTCGGGACACCTCAAGCTTCGTGGACTATTCAAGCGAACCCGGTTGGGATACCTCCAGTTTCGTGGTTGTCAACGAACTTGGTTGGCATAGCTTTCCATCAAGGGGCCCGCTTGAGAGAACTCACAGTTTCGCGGTCTGTCAATCAACGGAGCAGCAAAGCTGACCAGCAATATAACATAGTTGTTGAGATGTGAAGACCATGGCATTGACACGATTTCTGCATCTGCCTTTCCTGCAAGGTCGGCTCAAACAAGCCTTTGGCTTATAGTGAAACCTCATGAGTGGAGGTCACTCAGCAGCACCACCCGGCGATCTGCCAGGAGTCCGGGGAGCAGGGATCATTGGGGTGCCACGATCTTCAAGGTTTCCAGCTTGCAAGAAAACGGGAGGTGTCATGCTCAGGAGCCAAACGGCTGCTTCTGGATTAGACCGGCCTGCATGATGCCATTGTAAACAGCCGCCCTCCATCCTGGCTCAAGCAGGAGCTTCCAAATCTGAAGCAACTTCTTGAAGGGGCGACAACTTCCTTGAAGAGTACACGGAAGCAGCAAAAGTTGCTTCTGCTTCAAGCGCTGGCAAGGGGACTCTTTGGTCCTATGCTGTGTAGTCCAGGTCTTGAGTCTTGGGGTCGCCTTGTGAGCATAATCATCTGAAACGCCGAGGCGTTTATCGTCATGAGGCCGGCTGCTTGACAGCGTCGCCTCGGCTCGGGCCATGTAGATTTCAACGGCTTCGATCGTAGTACGTTATGGTTATATGTTATTATCTATATTATATAGTATATTATATATTTATCAGGTATGATATGATGCACCCTCGCGGGGTTGAGCGTATTGCTGCTGACTCCTGCGAAGCAGCCCTGCAGGAACAGCAGAGCGAAAGCCCTTCGGCTTCAAACAGAACCAAACCTTACGCATCCAGAGCCCAAAAGGGTCTACGCAAAGTGGCCGCCTGCCTGGAAGCACTGTTTTGTACCATGCACCTTGGACCTGAGCAGGCATTGCATGCAGAAGGCTGCCCACGTTGTGACAAAGAACCGAGGGTTTTCGATTCGCCTTCGCAAACTGACAGTCTGGCCTTAGACGGGTATACAGCGACAGACCAAGATGCTACACTTCGTGTGCCAGAGGACCGCACGCGAGTGGCAGTTGTGAATGGCACTAAATTATGGTCAAACGAAAGCGGCCCCGATGTTTTATCCCTTTCGCATTGCTGGCAACTATGTCCCAATGTTGAGAGCGAACCTTGCTCGACAGTGTATGTACGTCCTCCTTGCTTCCTCGACCTCGCGCCTGTTAGGGTGCCCTGTGCGGCCGCGCCCTAAATCCTAAACCCTTCCGCTGTCTGACTGCGAGCCACGGCGAGAGACGGCATCCGGTCCACTGGTGTAAGTTTGCTAAGAAGCCTGGCCCAGACCATGACAAGATCTTCAAGGCAAACCTCTTCAAGCATTCATCCCGGCCGTGGTATCTGTGTACATATAATTATATACATATATATATATGGGTAGGTAGTCATTCCCCCCCCCCCGGCATTTCAGCAACTTCGCTTTTCTGTTCCTGGATTCTGCTATCTGGTTTCGAAACTAGTGTCTGTTTCGAAACATATCCGTAGGAGGCCCCAACCCGACCAATTAACCCATTAACCCAATCATTTGCCCGACCCATTAACCCATCAACCCAATCATTTGCCCAACCCATTAACCCAATCATTCTGGCCAAATGAACTTGCCTTAACCGCATTAACCCATTAACCCAATCATTTGCCTAACCAATTAACCCAATCATTCTGGCCAAATGAAATTGCCGTAACCCATTAACCCATCAACCCAATCAGTTGCCGAACCCATTAACCCATTAACCCAATGATTTGCCCAAGTGGGACTGGACTCTACTCCCAAGTTCATTTGGCCAGATTGATTGGGTTGATGGGTTAATGGGTTAAGGCAATTTCATTTGGCCAGAATGATTGGGGTAACGGGTTAATGGGTTAAGGCAATTCCATTTGGCCAGAATGATTGGGTTAATGGGTTAATGGGTCAATGGGTCAACGGGTCAATGCGTTAGTGGGTTTACTGGGTTACTGGGTTGGGGCCGTGGCAGGCGCGTGTTTCGAAACATTCGCTGTGTTTCGAAACTCACGCCTGCCTATACCCCGCTACAGGCTAAATGGTACGTAAACTGACAGTTGTTCCAAGCAGAGCGATCTATGTATACATATATATATATAAGAGCATGATCAGGCCTCTGGCGTTACGAGTGTGAGAACTGACAGCGCAACACATTGATGCCCAGTTCGCTTCACCAAGTCGTAAGAGTCAAAGCGCCGAAAGCCATAAGGATCCGTAATTCATGATCTATTCCATGAAATCATATTGAACTATGATGTCTTGTCTTACATATGGTTCAAAATATACTATTCTCCCTGTCCCACTGTGGCTGAAGATTTTGCAAATGCATACGACTGTGTAATACTATGTACCATCTATATACTTTCAACTATATGCGAAACCGAACTGGTATCTACTGTAGCCTATGCTGTCGGCTCTAGGGCATACTACAGACCGATCTTGCAGACTATACTATAGAACATAAGACTACACTACGGCCTATATTATTGCAGACTATACTATAGACCACAGACGTTACTATACAATGTACTTGTGCTGTACGAAAGACTATACTATGAGCTCCAGGAGACACTATAATACATACCATGTCATGTACTATGCTGTATAGTATACGCTATATTCTAGCCTGTATACTACATTGTGTATTACACTAAACTTTTACAGTTCACTATACTCTTCTTTCCTACACTATGCTTTACTATACAGGTGTCTTATTCGTAATTTTGCTACAAATTGCATTCTACATGGTTGGCATCATACATAAGCCCAAGAAATGATATCCTATCATGCTGTGCGGCATATGTTAGTCTGCTACTGATACTGCATTATTCCAAACATTGTGTTGTACCATCTTTTGATGCATGGGTTGTTTTGAGTTAGACACAGATCATAATGGGCTATACAGCATGGGAGTATATATTACAAAAGGTACCGAAGGCTTGGTTAGATATTAGATCATTTCACCGTATACCGCGTCATATCATCTCACAATAAGTTGTACTATGTTGAACATCTTGGTATGATTCATTTTGAATCTCACACCGACCAATAACAGGTTAAAACATACCACGCTATATCTGATGGTCGTAGACTGTATTGTGTCACATAGGACATGCATCTGGTTGTCAGTTACTTTTTTCTTTTCAGGTTACATCACATCAAAATGTTTACTGTACCATGCCAACTTAATTCGTGCTGTATTGGAGCATAACATGTTCTAGCATGGACTATGTTATATGGTACTATACGATACTATACCAGTGTAAAGCATCAGCCGTTACATCAAGTATATTGCATTTATGATGTGATATACTGGCGAATGCCATTCGGAAAAAAGCTGTAAGTCGAGCGTGCTAGGTTACATTCTGTGTTATATCATTGTGTGGCACGAAATATTACACAATTCCTAGATATTGTATGTTATATACTCTGAACCGTGTATGCGCCATATTTTCCTTCATGTGTTTTGAAATATATGGGTTTATAATTATACCATACTTCGCGGTATGGGGCATGACATGTGCACCCTTGGCACTCTATTGTATTGGGCGCAATACCGAAGATGCTGAAATGTAGGGGAGGAATGACCACGAGCCCTTATATATATATATATATATATACATATATATATATATATATATATACATATTTTTTTTACCTGAGGTAGCCAGCTTGGGGCGGACTCTCGATCCTAGATACTCTTTTGCGGTTTTGGGTCAAGGCCATGTGATTCACACCCTCCGGCAGGAGGATCGGCAGATTTCGCCGAAGTGAAAAGGTCGAGGAGCTAGTAACTAGCCCGTGCTTCCGCTCGACCATGCTTCTTGCACTTGCTTTCGGGCATGAGTGGCATCGTCTGCTGAAAGATTCAATCGGGAGTTGAGCTGCTCCACGTATTCGCAGGCAGACTTCTGATCTTTGGCACAGCTTGGAGGTTCAGAATAGACGGCGGCCATGTTGATGGGCTCTAATCTTGACTCTAGACTCTAAACAGTAGGATCATCCTGACACACAGGCCCCGAATTGCAAGAAATCCCTGCCCTGCGATACAGTGCAGCAACTCGCCCTGCACGAGGCTTTTCGTTTCCGACCACTGCAGGTTCTGCAGCATGTATTTCGGAACGTCCAGAATGCACTGGCTGGAGTCATTGTGTTGGCCAGTAGAACTTCGAAGGAATTCCAGCATGTTGCTTTGCAGTAACAGCAACCAAGCTGAAGACTGGGTTCCAAATGCTTTCCAAATTCCAGCTGCATGCTTGTGACGAACTCCTGTAACCAATCACGCTGTAGACCTGTGGGAATTCTAGCTCAGTGTTCCCCTTAACAACTACAACCCCTGTAGTAATGCCCCTATATACCCCCTTGTAAGAGTTAGCCTCAAAAGCCTTAAGTCCCCTAAACCCCGATGTTGCGGCTTCCGTTGCTGCTGTTGATGCACCTCCTCGTATTCCTGCTCATGCAACGCTTAAGATTCTTACGGCAGGCATCTGCAGTTGATAGGCTTGGGTCTTCACTGGCGAGGAGCAAAGCACTTGATCACTAGCTACGACAAACGACGAAGCCCAAGTAGTTTGAGCACGTAAGCAGAAGATCTCCTATGCGTTGAACATGCTCCGTGCCGACGCCAGCCTCGTCAGCCTGGTATAGCAGCTGGGATGTCTGGTGAGACGTGCTTCAGATGAGCTGGGAAACGCTTGAACGGCTTCGCCGTCAGCATTGCCACTTGCATCGGTCGGTCCGACAATCCAAATTGTTGCGGGAGGGCGGGGCGTCATGATGTAAGGATCTTTTACATCTTACGATAACCGCATATGGTAAATCCTGGCATAATCTTCTGACCTAGAACTTGAACCCCTGAACCATGCTAAACAGTAAGCCTCCTACCTAATCCTCGAGCTGACGCCTTCCTTTCTTTGCGTCGCTTCTCAGACTGTAGCTTCCAATAAGGGGCTGGGTTCAGCGGTTGGGGTTTACGCTCTCGCAACTCGGACATGCCTGACGAGGTCTCTGGTGCTGTGTGCTTTGAGGGTTCAGGGTTTAGTGTTGAGGGCCACGATGCTTTGTCTCGGGCATTGAAATCTTGATGTTGCGCTTCCCCGCAGCTTAAAGAGAGAGGTTAATGTGGATTCGAGGTAGCCCCTCAGCAATGTGAAGAAAACGCACCTAATCCCAGATGACATAGTGAACTCCGAAAAGGCGGGATTTGGGGTGCAAGGGCTTGGCATTCCATCTGCATCTGTCGGACAACATGCTTTGGCACCAAGGATTTTGCCGACCTCTAGGCGCGAGCTGTGAAAGGACTCTGCATCGTGCGGCCAGCAAGGAACTAATCCCCTCCCCGGAATTGTGGAGGACTAGGGTTCATAGCTAAGGGCGTCGAAAGAAGATGTTCCATAAAGTCTGATGTGACCCACGGCTTTCATTTCTGGTATCCAGTACCCCAAATACATACTGATCAATATTTCTAAGGTACCCTGTACACACTCATCAAAACACAACTAAACCCTACTTCATATACTTTTATGGGCGAAAACTGGGTGCTGGGAGCGGGGCAATTTCATACTAGCGGAAGAGCTGGGCCTTCTAGCCCCTGATCCCTGGAAAAAACACGTCATTGCAGTGTTGGTGTTGCTCCTTTCCATATGGGATTTCTTCAAAAACAAGTCCTACATAATCCCGTTTAAGGATCTCCCTAACCCCTGTACAAAAAGCAGCTGCGGACACCTCGGATGAGCTCAACAACCCATGGACATTGGCTTTGGAGCGTGGATGCTCTGGAAACTGCATGCTCTCTAAATGTGGACGATGTTTGGGTGTGCTCTGGCAACCGGATCTTCTCACAAGTGGATGCATAGTGTTCAATATTATAGTTTGGGTGTGGATCCCCTGGGAATCGCATGCTGACGCAAATGGACGATACGAACAAAGATACAGCAATACAATAATGTAACAATATAGCTATACAGCTATACAAAAACATAATAACTCAATGATACAATAACACAGTGTATACAAATACGAAGTCTTTTCATGTAACATATGATAGAATGGTATGGGTTCCTCTGGTCATTCGATGCCCTCGAATGTGGATGATAGATACTTATGGTTTGGGCCCAGAACATGGCATGTTCTCGAAAGTGACTGATATTCTGCTTTGGGTATGGATGCTCTAGTAAACGGATATATTATGGTTTGGGCTTGGGTGTGGATGCTCTGAAAACCTTTGAAGACGGACCCTCAAGGTAGTTGAATTTCTCATGCTTCCGAAGCCCCTTCTCCTTGTGGCGCTCCCAACCCTAAACCCTTAGCGCTTACGCCCCCCCCCCCCCCCCCCCCGAACCATGTTTCAACCCAAAACCCCTTGGACTGGACACTTGCAAACAAGTTTCTGAGCCCATAAACTCCAGAACCTAAACTCTAAACCCAAAGCAGCCTTCACTGTTGAGGAGGTGGTCCAATCGCCACAACTTGCCCTTGAACCTGAAATCTCGGGCGCGACCCGTGGGATTCAAAAGTGTAGGAGCTTAGGTTTAAGGTTATCCCTATATACCATGCTGCCGGCACAGCATGAATCTCCAGTGAACAGACCCCCAGAAAGGGACCCCCAATCTTCGCAAATGCCCGTCTCAGCAAAAAGAAGACCGATCCTTCAACCGGTCTGAGATATTGCGGAGGTGCTGTTCGAAACTGAACATGAATGAAACGATGGAACACAAATTGGAGACTGCCATAGTAATACCCCACCCCCCACCCAGCAAAAATCTAAAATACCGGCGGAATCAGGGGCTTTATACAGAACTGTTGTCTAGTGGGGCAGGTCCAGAGTAATTCAACACTAGACCCTGAACCCTTTGCTTTTCTCATTCTTGAAACTCCTCAGCTGCTAAATGACGCGGCCCCGAAGTCGTCAACCACTGAAGCCCCAAGCCCCGAATATGGGTTTAGGGTTCAGGGACGTAACTCTCTGACTCAAACCCTTTGTGCCACTGGACTCAAGTCAAGCCGGTCAAGACGACTGTGGGTCGTAGACTGACTCAAAGCCTTTTTGCAGCAGGCCTCGTTGTCCAGCAGCCCGGTTACAGCAACAGCCCCCTTTCCCAGCTGACTCAAAGCCTAAACCTGAAACCCTAAGCCCTAAACCTAGGTTTGGGCAGTAAAATCTTTGCCGAAGTCCTAGAGAGCCTGAAACCCCAAAACACTCAAACCCTAGACCCTTAAGTACTGAACTTCTGAACGACAGCCCAGGAACAGGCGTGCCACCGATTACTTGGCCTTCAGCTGGCACAGACGGTGGTACATAATGAATTCTCCTGACCTTCGCTGACTTGAGGTTTCGGCGCTCGCACTCGGACAATCCCGGCGAGGAATATGGTTCGAGGTCTGACACATGAAAGGACACTAAAAGAAGTAGTCATGATGATAAGCATATTTTAGGGTTCAAGTTTAGGGATTAATTACGGTTTAGGGAGTTTAGGTACTAGGCAGGGGCCGAACATAACCGAAACCTTAACCTGTCCCACAAAAACGTGATTCCAACAAGCCCCAAAAAGCTTCCAACATCAGTCAAGTCACAAACATGCTCCCCAAGAAAGCAGCAACCCATAAGAAGAAGAAGCCAACAGGCAGTCCTCCAACCTGGGTTTAGAGGTTATAAGGCTTAGGGTCTAGACAATCCTGCCACCGTTGAAGACTAATCGTGTTGAATTCTGTTGGGCTTTATTTCCTCTAGTCTAGGGAGCTCTAGTCTGAACACCTAGTATCCCATGCGATAATCCGAAGACTAGTCCCCGAGTGGATCCCTTACATGACCCCCTTTCAAGGAGTGTAGACTGGAGTCTGAGCTATAGCTCGACTGGTATCCAAGAAGAACCTGGCAACGAAGCCAAAGGCATACGTGAAGATCGCCGGGAAGGACCCGCCACTTCCTGGATCCGCACATGACCTTACTGCAGCTACGAGACTGGAGGCATGAGCAGTTTCGGGTTTCAGGTTTCGGATGTAAGGCTTAGGGACATAGTAGATTGTACTGTAGGAGCCTAGGAACTTTTCAATACTATCCAGGGGTAACAGGGCTTAATTGGGCTCAACGGGGCGCGGTGGTTGTGTTGGTGGTTGCCCAAAATGTGTCATCAACGCAAAAAACCAGACTCCCGCTTAAAGACCGGTGAGTGACAAGCCGTCGTCGGTTTCGAAGCACTCGACATCTTCTCCGACAGCTGGTGGTGCACCACTGAGAGACACACTCCCGAGTCCGGTCACAAATTCTGAGCATTGTCGCGACATACTTTTTGTGCAGTCAGTGCAGGAGACTCTGTAAGTCTGGGAGCGCCGTCGGCAAGAAGTCTCTACGGAGCCCGAGCAGGAAGTCGGCGACCCAGAGCAAGAAAAGCAGGATGACACGTTGCATGTGCGCTTTTCAGCGGCACTACTTGCTGCGCCTCGCAAGGCAGTGCCAAGGATGATACAGCCAACCCAACCAAAGAGGAAGACAAGGGTCAGTACGAAATGCACTCGCCTTTGCATCCCGGGACCACGCTCGCAACACAAGCCAACGTTTGCTTCCCACCAAGGTCCTGTAAGGCAGCCCATCCTGTGTCAAAGCTTAGCGCACAGATTGGGAGCAGGCGCCGGCTACGGAGACGTGCACGCTGAATATGCTTGAGCCAACAGCAGCCCGAGGACGTGCCCCTGCAGGTTCCATGATTCACCAGGCCCTGGACTGCATGAGCTAAGGCTTGTATGGTTGCTCTAAGGTGCGCATGAAGCCATCAACTGGCCGACCTGAGATGAGGAAACCCAAGCTCTCCTGTTTGGGGGTCTCTTCCCCAATGCCAGCGGGGGCCCATTGTCAGGTCCAGGGCTTAGGGTTTATGCAAGTCTATGCAAGGGAAACTATGTCTGTTTGATTCCCGAACGCCCACCTCCAAAGGGCGGAGCCGCCTCTTCGTTCGGACGAAGTGGGTGTTCTTCCCGCGAGGAGGGAAACTGCTTGACAGCGGCCCGGCTCGGCCCGAAGTGGTTGTAAACAGGCTTCGATCAGCGTACATGATCTTATGTGATGTTTGATTTCATGGTAATGTATGGTATAATGTAATATAAAGGTAATATATATATATATATATATATATGATATTACATGATATGACATTATACTATATGATATTCTGTGATATTATGTTATAACACCTTACATTATCTTATGCTATATGAGGTTATATATATATATATACATACATATATATAACATTCATGTACTATTACAATGTATGAACTGATGTATGGTTTCCCTATTCTTGTAACTTAACATAAGTTGTTCAACAAGAACCCAGAAGCACGTGAGCCATGTCCTGTCCAAGCGGAGCCTTTTTGTCCACAGCAGCCTCGTGTGCTCCTCGGCCGAGGTCATGGCGCTCAGAGCCAGTACATGCCAGCACCCATCCTAGGTCCTAGGTCATGGTTGGGAAACTTTTCCGTATTGGGTTTAAGCACCCATAACAGTTTAAAATGTTAACCAACTATGACAAAGCATCTGGCTCTTGGCCCGGAATGAGTGGCGATGCATCTGGATACCATCCGTGGTTGTCTAGAGTCTACACCTTTGCTGTAACGAAGAAGTAGTTTCAGCAGCGGGTTCGATCGCCAGGTAGCCGTCCAAAGGCAAGATCCAGATGGGAAGAAGTTCACAAGACTCCTCTGGTCCGGCTTGGCTCCATAGTCCAGTAGCAACTTTGCAACTTCCTCGTCTTTTGCCAAATTCAACACTGGAAATTCTCCCAGGCAATCCTTCGTTCCAATGGGAAACATGCCATAACTCGACTCTGCATCTGCCCGTGCTCCAGGAGACTTCTGACGACGTCCCGCCCCTCCTCACGATTTCCGCTTTGGCGCTGGCTTAAGGAGTCCAGCACAAACATAAGCACGTTCCCATAAAACTTACCCCTCTTTGACGAGGACTCGTAGACTACAGGAGTATTCATAGCAACTCGAAGATGTGCTCGGCTGTTCAGCCACTGCAACTCCGTCGTCGTATCTGCCTTACTCCTCGTAACTGCCATTCAGCGGGGGCCTGCTACATGGAGGAATTCGGGTGGGCTCAGCTGACAGCCCAGGTCCGCATAGGTATCTGCCGCATACAGGAGAAAGAAGTCTTGCAGAGATTCTGTCGGCAAAGACATTATGGGCTAAGCGCCTGGAAGCTTCACACCCTTCAAGGCATTGAGTACTGCTTCCATGACAATGCTCACGAAAAACTCTTTGGAAATTGTGGGCCATGGTATTCTGAGTATCCAAAAGAGGCTACCCTAACATAGAATCATAAAACGCAACATGGACCCGAATATAGATTCCTAATGAGGACCCCAAACATGAGCCGTAGTCTTTGGAAGCTCCTGCCTGACGTTGGTGCACTGGATCGCGCTGACAAGTGGCCAGAACTCTGGGTCTGATCGAGCTGCGATCTGAACATGTGCACCTATGGCTTTTTGTTGGGGTGGTTTTTGAAGGGTTTAAAGATTGTAGAGGTCACTGCAACATGAACTTTTTTGGGGTTTAGAGGATCGGGGTGGTAGGCCCTTTACTTACAACCCCGCCCGAAAAGGAAATCGGAGCCTGCTAACCAAAAAAAGCAGTCAGAAGTGTAGCTACCCGCACGGGAATTGGCTGTGTCTCGGATGCCTCCCCCGTTTTTGTCTGTGGGGTTCAGGGTCTAGGAATAGGAAGAAGGTTTTAGATGCTTGGGTTGGGGTAGACTCAAAATTTCGGGATCCACTTCAAGCACTGAGTGTCTGCAGCCGCTGCTCCGCACGTCTTCCGAAGTGAGCGCAAACGTGATGCATGTCATGCTCCGGCCTGTGCGTCCATGGGACGGGCAACGAGGTACGTTGTAGAGCTCTTAAAGCAAGCCTGTGAAAGCAATGCTCAAAACATTGCGGCAAAAAGCTAGTGCAAAGCTGTAACGCATGCCTGAGTTTGCATCTGTTGCTCAATCCGGTCTCTTTTCTGGAATTGTTGGTCTTCAACATGCGGTGCGCCAAAGTGCAGCAACAAGCAGCAATGAGATTTGGCACGCTTGTGTTCGAGCTTTGAATACAGGCAAGCCATCTTGGCAGCCAGCGAGGCAATGAAACGCGATCGCAGGATTTCAGGCACCGCTGAGATCCGCAAAGCAGCAACTCAACGCCTCAGCGCGAAAAGTGCGACAAGTAGAAGTCTCTGGTCAGCTCTGGTCCACTAGGCAGGGGCATGGCTGAGCTGAGATGGGATCTGGGACGTCAGCTGCGAAGCCAACTCCAGGAAACGACGATGCATCTGCTGGCGTGCCTCGCAGGCTCCAGGTGATATCTAGATCGTCGTAGGCCTCGAAAGGTCGCAAGCATATATGACGTTTCTGCCTGGGTTGATGCAAATACACACCAGAAAGCATTAGAAGATCATGTTCACATCTTCGCTTGCACCCGTGTGTATACACAGCTGCAGATGTACATGAAGGTGCAAGGGTCTTTGCAGACGGCGTGGAAAAAAGATGATCCGTCATGCCTTAAGCCTTGTGCAAACATGCAATGCGAAAGCGTGTACGTATGATATGACAAGATCAAGCGGATAGATGAACACGATGGACAAACGGACAAACAAACACACTCATATTGTGCACGTCTGTATACCAATCCCGACCCACATAAAGACATACAGTACAAACAGAATTGCGGTGGTTTTTTCATGAATTCCCACCCATGCTGCTGAAAAGTCGGCCTGCGTGCACGTGGGCAACGCTGTGCCCGGGAGGAACTCCACAGGCTCTCCAGGTACCTCACTGACTTGCTTGTTTTTGGGAGTCTGTCAGGAGGAATATGCTGCTGATTGCAATGCAGCAACAACAGCAACAAAACAGCAACACCAACAATAGCAACACGAACTCCAACCCTGCTACAGTCAGACGGACGCTCGTCAGGATACATGAGAAGTGGCCCCTGCAAGTTGAGGCAAGAGCATGACCGCCACCCAACAGCACAACCATGCATGAGATGTTGTCGGCGGACCTGCATCGCAACGCCTGAAGCGGCATGCGTTGAAAAGAATGGCCCAATTATTTGCTTACTCATGCTTAGTTGCAGCGGGGCAACTGATCCCTATACAGTACTCCGTATTCTATACGTCATACGTCCCACAACAATCTGTGTAGCCAATTCCCGCGTACGCCATACACATTCCAGCCTCGCAGCACACAGCAATGGCCGCCTGCGGCATCATCAGCTTTTTGCAGAACAAACCGCTGGGATTCCATACGTCCCCACCGTGGGTCCCCACGATCACTATAATCGGCAAACCCCAGCAGAGTGGTGCGTGTGGCTGGACCACCCTTGCGCTAGAATTTTGTGAGGCGCGCTGTGGAAGCAAAATGAGAGCAGGAGCACGGGCACACGGGTGTGCGTGTGCGAGTGCGCACGGGTGTCTACGACCGGGCGTGTGCGGGGGTGGGATGCATGGGTTTGGTGATGTGTGTGTGTGTGTGTGTGTGGAATCCGGCTTTGTACCTGGGTGGCTGCATGCTCCTGCCTTGCAGCCTCCTTCTGATTCCTTGACCGCATCACTTCGTTCCTTTCCCCTTCGCGATCATATTGGATTTTGACGCTCAGCCTGGTAAAGCACAACAAGTTTCGATTTACAACCCCTCCGAAAAGCCCCAGGTATCTTGGGCATAGACGATGTGGGAATCTTCCATGCTGGGCCGGCATCCACATATCTCCGCACAGCCGACGCGAAAGGCGGCGCCGCCGAATCGCCTGGTGGTAAGTTTGCCTTAAATCCTTGTGAACGTGACTGAACATGCTCACCGATGGACTTGAACGGAACTCTGAACCAAGGAGCTGTGCAATGGCAGATGTCTCGGGCAGCTGAGGCAGAGGTGTAGCCTGCAGAAAAGGATTGTGGTCGCATGATCGGACAGATGAGTGAAGTGCGAAACGAATGGAGCTTGTATTCAAGGCCCCACCAGAAAAAATCCAACCACGGCCCCACAATAACGCACATGGCCTCTTGGAATAGGTATTCAATAATTCAACAGTCAAAAGTGGGCATGAAACCATGACCCCGTCCCGAACCGCCTGCATGACCTGCGTTGGACTCCGTCTGTTCGTTCTTTGCTGCCAAGTTTGCATACTGAAGTCTGAGTCGCACAAGGCCCCGTGTTTGGGTTATCATCCTACGCCTCACACTGCGGTTGCAGTTTTCTGTCAGCCTACATATAAAGCCACTGAAAGAGATTGCTAACACTCCTACAAGCCACTTTCCGGGCGAGAAGATCTTGGTGCCCGTTAAACCATGATTGGACAGAGACAGATACTGTGACTGTGATAGTGACAAGGATCGTGCCATGGTGATCATTGAAACCACTGTCTGTTTGGCAGTTACCCGCACTATCACTGGAAAGCTGCCATGGTTGTTGCTCTCAGAACCATTGTTGTTTGAAGGCAGTCGCGGTCCTGCTTGATCTCGACCTCGCACCTGACGGCTGAGTCAAGCAGAATTTGCATGTGCTCTAGGCATGAGGAATCTCACCTTAGCTTGGCACTGTGCAGGACCCGTGTTGCCCCATTCTCCTGTGCAGTTCCGCCTTGGCGCGGTGGGGTGTGGAAGGTGGGAGGGGTGGGGTGCAGGTGTGGAAGTGCTCAATATTCCGCATTCACCGAAATCCCACGATACCTGCGTCACAAAGCCGCGGAACATATCCAGCAACCTTGTAATTTACACACGCAAGCCTCAAGACAAGCTGAAACTCCGGCATTCCAAGTAGATGATGGTGATGATGCTGCAGGGCCTGCAAACCAAGGCATGCCGTCCCTGGGCAAAACAATGCATGCACGTTGCACAACCATGGAGTCCGTTCAAGCTCTTTCATCTCATGCACCTCGCTTCTAGGCCAAGCGGACGAATCATGAGCATGAGCAAGGCAGGTCAAAAATGTGCTTTAAAATTCGAAGGCTATGACTGTTTCTGCAAGAAGACTAGCTGACTAGCTTTGAGAAACCCGACGCGGCGTCTGAAAGAAGAACATGCAGAATCCAAAGAACAAGCCAAAGCAACATGCTGGTTGCTGCAAAAATTCGGATTCCCAGGCACCTCCGCATCTCTCACACAGCCGACCCCGTGCAGCCTCAGCATCGGAAGGTCAGGCGCTCTTGAGCCGATGACTCTGTCTTCATTGAAGCTACCTGTATGCGCTTTGGGAGCGCGTTACCTCCAGCTCCCTCTGTCATACATGCAGAACACTGCACACATGATTTCTGCCCTGTCGGCATGAGCGCTGCAAGCAGCTCTCGATGAACATATGTTCTTCTATGTTGTTGAGACTCTTATCCAAGAGCCCAACTTGCCATTTCCCAAAATTTCAGACCTACGATGCAGCTTCTTCGCTGCAGCCCGGCCATCGTCGCCATGTGAGGTTTCCCATGGCCCCAACATGAATGCACTCCCGATTGCCGCAAGTGGATCCCTGAAAAACTGTCGAACCCCAGCAACGACAGTCTGGGCTGAGAGGCAGGGCGTGTGCACTCAACGCAGCGTGAAACCTTTGCTGCGCGACGGAGAAGGCCATTGCAATCATGGTCCTTTGCAAGGGTCGCCGGTGGCTCAGCCCCAGGCTTTCGGACCAGGACAGAGCCTCGTGGCCTGACAATCTCGAACTGCGATCAGGTCTTCGCGGGCTGTGAGCCTGGAAGAGAACATGCCCTCCCCACCCCTCGTCCTCGGAATCGAGAGCTAATGGCACAGGGTTATGCAGTGTAAAGTTGGCCAAGCTCCTACTAAATCATGGAGAAGAACAATCCCAAACTCAAACAACACTGACACAAGGCTGGCAGTGCCACAGTAGCAACAGGGCACCTGCTCCGAGGGGTCCCGCAAGCCGCCATCCTGGCTGCGCGTTTCCATCTTCCAACTATCTCGTATACGCTTCACTTCCATGGCGCTCTCATCGCGAGCCTCGCACCGCTCCTTGTGCTTGGTTGCCTGAGTGGGGCTTTGGCTTCGGATGCAAACCAACAGACTTTTTAAACGCCAGTGTGCGAGGACTCGTACTGCAATCCTACTTTCCCGGCAGATGTCTGGATAACAGCTGTGTGAAGCTGCTACTGTACACATCTGATTTGAAGCAAACACCGCTATTGGGTCATATGGCGTCACATGCACAACATGTCAGGCCTCTGGAACACGAAGACCGCCTTTACCGGCCCGGTATCTCGGAGAGCGCAGGCGCCCGTTGATGAATACCCGAACTCCTACGACCTGCGTCGCTTGGTCTCTGGCTTGGGAGGACCGGGGATGCATCATGAGCAGGGCAGGTGGGCAAGCTGGGCAACGAAATCAAACGCTGAGCCAATGCCGCAGGGACAACATACAAGCACTGCACATGGGAACTGGATGGAATACGCTCTCAACAAGAGTCCCGCAGGATATCCTGACAGCTGTTCTTCAGGTCCAACACGCGATTGTTTGAGCCTTTTTGCTGGAATGAAAAAACCTGTTCTGTGGCTAGGAAGGGAAGGTAGAGCCACCTTATGACCCCTTATAAAATTGACACAATTGTGTTCCCTCATTCTTCAAGCCAAGACCGACAGTGATTGCTTGTTTAGGCGCGTCGGTCACCGCATCTCATCCGCAACGTCTCAAGGTGCTCTCGGAGCTCGTCATGAGTCAGTGCTGCCAGCAACCCTGCGTCAATCATGGGAGCCGTTTCCCAGCTAGAAGCTGAGCTTGTTCCAACCTCCATGTCGTGCAACTGGGCCAATTGTAGGCCCAAAAGACCGCTGGCTTCAGTTTGGCAAGCTGCCTCGCCAGCCACTGCTGGATCGGGAGCACATGCCTGATTCAAGACACATCTTAGCCGCCCGATGTGCGCGAGCATATCCCATTGCTCATCATAAATGGAACCACTAAGTTAGGGCCGGCTGTGTTGGTCATCAATAGCTCGCCAAACTACAATGACGGCTCCTTTCCGGTCTGCGTTGACGACCGGGCAAAGCCCCTGTCTCCTCCTCGCCCCCTCTTCACCGCAGCAGCCGCGGCAAACAACCAGAAAAATGATAACAAGGACATGCCAACTCCAAAAACGGTCCAGGCACGCAAACGGAACAGCAGCAGCATCAGCAGCAGCAGCAGCAGCAGTGGAGGCAGTTCTCAGCACCAATCGCGATTGATCTGCGCAAGGCCATGAGTCGGCAGCCCGCAGAAACGCCACACCGGAAGCCAGCACAGCAAGGTGAACAACGAATGCACCGATCGCAGCTCCCTTCACCTTCCAAGTGCACACATAGCAATAAACTTGCAAGAGGGGTTCTCCTGTTGTGTTGAAAACACTAGGTAACGAGGTGCTTTTGCTGCTCTAAACCTTGAAACAAACAAGCTAACATGATTGAAAAAGTCGTTTCAGTTGAGATGATTATCAAGTCTAAGTTGTTCATCGTAGCACAAGACATTCTGCAAACAATGCAAGCAAATACTTAGACAAGTATATTTACTACAATCTCTTCTGGTAATTTTGTTATGATCTGAAACATCGGTTTATGGACAAGACACGTTCTTCAAAGGTCTCTCATAGGGCAGAATCATCATCTTTCTTTCCCAGGCGCTTAGATCTCGTGAGCAAAGATCTGATAATAGCAAACTCGCCCGCTAAATCTCTTCTTAAGTAACAACAACAAAATACAGCTCAAAACCCAACCTCGGACATTTTCCCCGCCAGCAGCGACAGCCGAAGCACCTCGACTGAATGGTCATTGTCGCAGAGTCTACCAGAACTACAAGCAGCATCCGTGTGGTCACTTGCCACGTACTGCTCCATGCTGAAAGCTCGGGCTTTGAATATTTCCCTCATCGTCACTGACACAAGGTACAGTTTGCACTGAAGCCACTGTTCGACTGTTTAAGGCTTAGTAAAAACCCAAAGCCAGATCAAAAAACAGAACACAGTGCCGCACACGTACAACTTCGCAATGCAGATCACGATGGCTGGTTTCGTGCAACTACAGCATGCCTTGCCAAAGTGAAGTTGCCACCGGCGGCCCAGCCAAGCAAAAGCTTGACAGTCAAATTTAACCTCATCATGCTGAACTGTTGAGCCAGTATGGAAATTCACTCAGCCAGATCATCTCGGCATGATTCCGGGGCCAGCCCTGGCACGCGAGTGCATCGGTCTGAGGCTCTGGGCCTACATGCACGTTCTCACACTTCTCACCTTGCTCCATTGAGAAGGCTCCTGCCTCATCTTCGAGGAATTGGCACGAAGTGCAATGTAAAAAACATAGCCAATTCCTGCAGCAGCATCCCGGAAGATGAATACACACCGCACCAGACACACTGCGACAAGTGCAATCTCTGCTGTCCTGCCTGCGCGAAGCCAAAGCTGCAGAGCTCTAAGCAGGCTCCGTTGTCGGAATGCCTGCGATTGATCCGTAGTGGTGAGATACTGTCAAGTTCGGATGTCGAAGACCACTAAGAGAGACATGCTGGTGCCTGGCATCGGCAATGGCCGTCGCAGCAGCAACACCTGGCTACAAAGTAATCAAGCAGCAAAACAGATGGATAGTCAGAACGGTGCGGAATGCAGGAGAAGAGGTCTACTTGCTGTGAAAGCCATGATGCAAACACGCAGTGGGTCTGGCTTCCTCATGCGCATTGCCACCCCCTGCTTCCAAGGTCGCCGGGAGGTCGTGCATCTCGGGTTTGTGAAACTCATAGTGAACCCATCCTCCAAAAGATTAAAGACCAGCAGCCACACTTCGAACTCTATGCAAGGTCACTCTATGGCGTCAGCTGTCCTCTGCTTCCTTGCACCCCGAGACTGCGCCACTCTTGTTCCTGCGTCCACTGCTGCAACGACAGACAGTCGCGGGACACCAGCAGGTGATAGCTAGCAATTGACTGCCGAATTGTAGAGTACCTCGAGAAGCCGCTGGCCACCTTGCGTTAGGTGCACGAGTCTCGCTGCCACGTCCTCGCATCCACCGACTGTGTCGCGAGATGCTGGGAGCTCACGGCTAATGATAGCAACCGTGTGAGCACACATCCTCCTTGGACCTTTGCAGATAGCACCAGATGCGCGCCACCATCGAGAACCCCTAGACTGGTTGGCATCATGTTGAACGATCCAGTCACGGTCCTTCGGGAGAAGGACGTGGCGATACTCAAATTGCTGGTCCGCATACTTTTCCTTGGAATCCGTGTCATTATTTCGTGGCTTCCGTCGGTGGCCACAAGACTCAGCAAACGAAGTCGCTAAGTGCACCAGCCCTTGTTGAGATGCACCTTGCTGAACCCAGGCACTGAGTAGCAAATTGAGTCTGGAAAGCCTGGCATGTTGCTGTAGCCAAGCAGACCTGAGGCGTCCAAGCCAGCAAACTCCAGATGACCGCGGGCAGTGCTGGGAGTACGGTGAAGGAGGAGACCAAGGCCTTGGCAAGTGTGGTGCCTTGTTTGGCGCACGCTCGAGCCGGAAAACGACCAGCAACGTCGACAGAGGATAGCAAAGCGTCGTGCCAGGGCTCCAAGCCAAATGTGCGTCAAGAATCACCGAACATCCTGATTTCTGCACTCCTTGCTCCGATCGTCAGCAGACCTGATTCTGCTTTGCAGACTCGGATCCGCAGGGGAGTCGTGAGGAGAAAAAACCCAAAGGAAGCAATGCACGAGCTAGACTGAGAGGCATGGTTGAAGCAATGATGTCAACACAGCAACAGACAGCTTACCATGAAAGTGCAAGCAAGCAATGTTATGAATCATTGCGTGAACCAGCCGCTGCTGCCGTCCGGGCTTTGATGGCTACTTTAGTTGTGAAACGACAGACAGCAGTGAAGACGACTTTAACACGAATTTGCCGTAGCCAAGTGAGGATCGATGGACAAGTTCGCCACAGCAGGTGGGACAGGTAGGATGCACAATCCGGAGGTCACGTGGGAATGCTACCCCATGCATTCATGTGGAGCAATACTCCGCCATACTCGCCTCCGAGGATTGCGGGGAGGGGGTTGCGCCTTTATTGGCTGCTCACCGTGCTGGCTGGGTTTGGTGTGGGCATGATGGGTTGCTTCGGCAAGGTACCGTGCAACCACTGGGGCTCAGAGGCGCGGGGCACAACCTGCTGTTGGATTCGCGTGGCGAGGTTTCAGACACCTGTACCCAAGAGAGCCTCGAGGCCGCACCGTTGCTTCTGGTCGAGGGCTCTTCTAACCGTCGTGATCTGCAGCACTGGCACGCAATAATTAATCAAAACATCCACGGACAAATTGTTCTCGTTAAGAACAGAAGTGCAACACTAACGAGGTGGGGAAGACACAGGTGGTCAACCAAAAACTCCCGACGGTGTATGCACTTGTCACCGATTTCGGCATCGATGCGAAAGAGTAGTTCATAATTTCGCGACCGAACATCTCCGCCGGGATCGTTCTGTGCAACAGCGCACCGAAAGTGTCGGCCCTCTCGCCATGCGCAGGAACATAACAAGCAGCTCAGCCGGCTTCGTCGTGCGACAGGGATCTGGGACAGATCAGGGCTCACCCGGGATCTCGAGGAGGAAACGGTCAAAGTGCTTTTTTTCCGGCACAGGCAGTCGCTAGAACCATGCCTGGGCTCGGCAAGGGCGATGGACGGCAGAGCGCATTCGAGTAGCTCAGACTTCACGGTGGAGGCCCGGCGGCGTGGTCATGGTGGACAGCAATGCCGGCCGACAGGGAAATCCCGTGAACGGTTGCAGAGCATTCCTTGCTTAGCCCGCCCTGCTTTGAAAAGAGGGGTGGAAGTTGAAGTTGATGCCGGCAGCAGCGCACTTCTGCGCCGTGTCGGGCTGAGTGCGTTTGAGCTCTGACTACGCCACTACGCAGCAGCCGCTGTGGCGGGGTTTCTGCAGCTAGCACCCCAGTGGCAGGGACCCAAAGCATTGATGACAGCCGTGTCCAAAGCTACCGGTTGGTGGCTGTGCTGCCGCGTGTTCATCGGATAGCCGCTTCAAGAGGTTGCGAAGGATGGTGCACTGTCAAGCTCGCACCCATGTATCAGGCCAGGCTCCTGGCAAATACGTTCACGCATAAGAGTTTTCTTTTTCTATTCAGGGCCGAAACGGCCGAAAAAGCTGGAGAGCTGGATTGTTTGAGTGTCGCTGAATGATTTGTTCCGGTGCGGCACAGGCGGTGCACAACACCGTTCTGGCCGAAGAGCACATGCACTTATGGATGTCAGCCTTGTTGCACCTTTACTTTGCAAATTGAGCTGTGCAGGCTGGGTTTGAGAGAGAGGCTAAGGCAGCTCAAATCACCGGGAGGACAACAGCGGGTTGTGGCATAACAAGAAGGAGACTATGTCGATGAAAGCAAGGCAGGAAGGCAGGCTGCAATGAAAAGGGGGCCACGCGAAATGCCGAGCCCGGCTTAAGGCAGCAGCGGCAGCCGCCGGGGCTCCTGGGGCTCCAGGGCACATTCCACGGCTCAAGGTGGTCCGAGTCCTTTGGCGCTTGTGGCCAGGTGATCCGAGATTGGAAAGCTCTGGACATTCTGAAGCCGTGCTGTTGGTATTCAGCTTTCTTCGCTCCTCGTCTTGGCTTCGCTTTCCAATTTCATGGAATTTTCCGTAATTGAAAACCAGGATGGCTTCACTTCTTGTCCTTGGCAGGGTTGCTAAACCTCCAGCCTAAACAGCCCGACCACCGAAAACTGGCTCGGTATCTCGACCGCGGCGGGTTAGCAGTGCTTCACACAGCAGTAAAGGCTCTGCTGCCTGGGTGCTCACGTCAAGCACGTGGCACAACTCGAGAAGCTCCAACACATTGGCTGAGTGTCTTGGGCTTCAAACCTCAGCATTTCGACGCTTCGCCACTTCGCTTCAAGGACGAAAAGGTCGGGTGCCGCGCACGTCTCTGTGCAATGCATCGGGTTTCAATTCCTCAAGCACTGCCGTGGCCTAGCTGCGCGACAGAAGCGGCTCCATGCCGAGGCTGCCACAGTGATGTAGCTGCAGGCATCATTTCGCCGTACCACCTCCAATGTGTAGTGTAGTGCCACTGCCAAGCTCAAAGGTATGCTGAACTCTTGGCCGGAACATCACGAAACTTTTCGAATGGAATTATCGTCTCAACTCCAAGAGCTGCTCAGCGGGGACCACCTCGAGCCGAGTTCCCCTCAGAATCAAGGCTTGTCGCAAAGCTCTGGACGGCACAAACCGGGTCCACACATACCGGTATGCTCTTGGTATCCGGCATGCCTACGTCCTCATCTGAAGCCTGGCAAACTGGCAAGCAGCTTCAGTGGGACAGGTTGAGCAAAACGGATGCGGCCTGAGGCACGATGACCCGGCCAGACTGCTGTCGCCTCGAAGAAACCGAAACCGGTTCTCAAGGTTCAGACGTGACGAAGCCCACATCTTAGAGGCCGATGAGTGCAGTGCTCACGCTCCTCCTCCGAGATGATCCTGACCTCGGGCAGCCAACTTTCAGAGCTCGTCCAGGTCGGTCGTTCTGCCTCAGATCTGCTACCAAGGAGCCACCCACTTCTTGTCCTCTTCTTCCAGCCTGGGAGACATCAGACCGACTGCGATGCCACCCGAAGACCTTGAAAAGCCTTCTAGATGCCATCCCGGAGCAAGAGTGCGCATTCCAAGCTTGGCATACTGCTGACCAACACTGCGCTGTGCAGGGGATTGAGCCGTCGATCTACGTTTTGCTGAGTTGTGCAATTGATTGTGCCACCTCCGCCGAAACGTGTCCCACATGCAGATGGAATGACCCGGGTCGTAGACAGGTGCTTGCCTTCCTCTGACATCACCCGAGCATGTGGAGTGTGCCAGGGTGCTACTGAAGAACTACATGATGAAGTGAACAGAATCACGACATGCGCGCGTGTATGCGCGGCTACTCCGTGTGTCCATGCGTGGCAGGTTATTCATAAGGGATCCACTCCGTGGAATTGTCATGGCTGCTCACACGACCGCCATCCTACACGACATCGCTGCTACCGGGTACGAGTACTTAGTGGCAGAGTAACATAGCTCTCGCTCCACCAATTCACGTCCCTTGTGCCCAACTGCGGCCAAGCTGCTGGGTCTGCATAGTCTGTGCGGTTTCCAGCGTAACCTGACGCTGCACTGCCCGCATTGCATCCTCCTGACCATTCCAGCAACATGCCAACGTAACCTCCCTCTCCCTCTCGCTGCAACTTGCTGCCTTGGGGGTCCACTCTAGGACACGAAGGGGCCGACGGCCCCTTTCCGGCATGTCATTTGCTCCGCTTCTTAAGGCTTAGGGGCTTAGCCCTTCGCCGAAGCCACAAAGGCTTCCGTGGGATTCTATGAGCTTTCAGCAAACTCACATGGACAGTCGACACACTACAGCGTGAAAGTTGCTCCTCGATCGGCTCTGCCGATCGTTGGCTGGGTGTGACCTGAGCACTTCGAGTCTAGCCGGGCAAAGTCTGCCTGAAACCACAGCCACGGCCGCGAGGCTCTAGTCGAAACGAGAAGATACAAACGAATTGCTGGCTCGTTGACGCACAAGCAACAGCCGAACGAAACACGAAATTTCATCGCACAAGCATCTTGTTCCTGACGTTTGTCCATGCTGAACCGCATTGTGTGGGCACGTGCCAGCCCACTGACACGAGATGTGATTGCTCGACAACTTGGCCATGTCCACACATGCTGCGACCATGTCCAAGAAAGCCTATGCGCACCTAAGTGTTTCGAGCAAGTGTATGGACCCCGGACGAACCAGTAACCCCCCCAGCCCAGAACCCAATCAACTAACACAAGCCACGCAGAAAACTTCAATAAAACTCATGCAAAAACTTGAAACCGAGCGGCTTGCCGAACCTGGATCCTACGGCTTGTGCAGAAGCATAGCCCAGGACTACACTGACTTTCTCGGGAGCACACGTCTACAGTTGCACTGGCGACGTCCAAGCGCGACCTGCATTGAGACATAAGTCACGGCATTGTCAACACCATCAACTTTCAACACATGACCGCCGAAGAACTTGTCACATCACACCGCCCGTGCCTCCAGCTGTCAATCCCTTTCTCCAAGGCTTCGGTGTCTGAATTGGCTTCCGTCCAAGAAGACCACCTGTTCTCTGCTTCTCCGCTGCTCAGAGTGCCTCGGGCTGTCTTCGCGCCTTGATGGAGTCTTGGATCCAGAGAGACGAGGGACGAGCCCCTCCTTGAGAATGGAGGTCGCCGTGACAAACTCTATCCGATCCCAGAATCTGATGCGTTGAAACGAACTGTGGCCTTCTGCCAGAGCGGCATCTTTTCTGGCCTGGCCGGGCTCAGCATACGGGGTGACGCCCAGCTCTTGCCACGAGTTCACAGCTGTCGAAGGGTGGCAGTAGCGCGGGAAAATGTCGACAACCTGCCCGGAAGTATCATGCAGCATACTGGTTGCTGGATGGAGGGAAGACCACTGACAGCAGCGAAAGGCTGCAAAAGACGACATAGCCAAGAGGGTCGAATAAGACTCGCTGCAGAGCACAGGGTCAAAACTGGCCATACAAGGAATGAGCAAGAATAACCGGCAGTCAATGGGTGCACAGGCTCCGGTGAGATCCGCGGGATTTGACTCCAGCCACAAGCAAGTTTTGGTACTCCTTCAATAACTGACCAAAGTGCGGGGTAACGAACTGCAGGACATCAGGTGATGCTCCAGGTGATGTCCCTTGGTTGACTGAGTTTCGCACTGATCCCGAAGCCAAACCGGCAGCTGCAGCCTCCAATGCTGCCTGCCACGGGCTGCCACTCTGCCCTTTGCCTCCCACCCTCTCCCGGACACCAAATCGAGACAGAACAGAGATACCTACCACCTCTACTCTCGGAAGCCCACCACTGCAGTGACGGCAAGGACTCCTTGGGTTGTGTGTCACTAAGCTCCAGGCTTCCAGGTTGTCAGGCTCAGCTGCGATCGGCAAGTCGAAAAACTCCTCCCATTCTGGATCCAAGTTCCTGAGTCGGCTACATTCTGCACGAGTATGGCAGGCAGGTACGGCCAGCATTGGCACAACAGGATTCAGGTTTCGGAGACGTTCTTCAGCGTCCGCTTTACGGAAGCTCACAATGTCCTGTGTGCGAGGTCATCAGGAATCTCATAAGGAATCGATGAACTATCTGATTTCGCACGTCTGCCGGTTGTCGCCATGATGTAGGTATCAGCAGAGGGTGCAATAGTCGCATCTGCTGCTACAAACGCACTGCAGCTGCCCGTCGACTTTGTTATCTGAAGATCCCGCGGCACTTGCCAAGGCCGTGGCCGAACCTTGACACTGCTGACTTGGCGATGGCACAGCAGCCCTGTGGCAGTCTCGGCACAGGCCTCAGTACTTTTGAGCTTGAATTTAGGCTCCAGGCTGCAGCTTGCATTTCTGTCGCTGAGGAGCAGTGATTTCGCACATTGGGTCCGAAGTGGTCCTAGCAAGCGCGGAGATGTAGGAACTGTAGGTGGGACGTGTTGCTGCTTGCTGCTCGCATGTGTGTTTTTGCCATGTCTCGCGAGCACGTCTTGCTGCTACTGTTGAAAGGGCAAGCAGCTTTTTTTCAACTTCGCCGTCGTCGAGTCGCGGTGAGTCGCTGCACTGTGGCTGCACTCCATCACTCTCTCAGCAGGAGCTTGAAGACGATGCATCCGAAGTCAATAGAGCCATCTTTGCAGCTGCCTGGCACTCCAAAAGCTGCAGGAAGGTCTCTCTTTGTGGACGTATGGCTTCTGTGATTTGGAATTGAAGAGATCAACTACATACTGCGAGGCCACTAGACGAACTCCAGGGGTGAAGCGGCCGGTGGACCCTGTGCAAGGGAGCCCTTTCCCCTTCCCCAGTGGCCCAGCCCGGACTCGCTTGACCTGCCAAGTACCTGATGGGAAAGGATTCAGAGCTCTGCGGGGATCTGGCCCCTGGGCCTAAGGCCCAACAAAGAGACCGCTCTGCATCGTTCTCTTGTAAAACCTGTTGTTCCCCAAATTTCGTGCCTTGACGGTCTTCTGCTTCTTCTCTTGCTGCTTCACCTGCGTCTACGTTATTTTCCAGGCGCGGCACACTGTCTCGGTTGGCTTGTTCGCCGTGACACGGGGGAGGAGCTTTTTGAAGATGAACTTGATTCTTCCCAAGCAAACTTGGCACCATCGGGGATGTCCACCTCTTCCTCCTGGTCCTAGCCACGTGGTGGAAGCTCTCGAAGCGTGCAAACATGCACGTGCCAAAACACACGTGTTAGCACGGCGAGTGCATTTCCTTCGGCGGAGCTGCCGGCGGTGGTGGAGTCGGCACCTGCACGCACTGCAATGCACCGGTCTGGTAAAGTCCGGATGAAGCCGCCTTCGGCATCTCCTCAGACGACTTGCGCTTGGTCTTGGCAGAGGCCTTGGTTTTCTTGTCCTTCTTCTTGTCCTGGAGCTGGTGCACTGCTTGGCAGGCCATGGCTTAAATTTTTGAATTAGATCCACTTCAGCGACAGCCTTCTTTTTCTTCTGCTTCTTGTCTTTCTTGTCCTTCTTGGACTTCTTCTTCTCCCTAGCGACAGCAAGGGTGCGGTGCTACTTGTCGTGGTGAAAGTCCAGGAATTCGCCTGGCAGCTTTCTTGGCGGCCTTTTCGATCTTTTTGAGCTTTTCGGCTTCGCGGTGCCTGGGACTTGCAACATGGCGCACGGTGGACGGACAAGGGTCGTGTTCGTTTGCCTGCGCCAAGGCTCTCAATCCCAGCAACTGCAGCTTCTGATGCCACGACAGACCAGTCCACTCTGTACGATTTTTCCTTGGCTGCATCGATACGGAGATCCAAGTACGGCTTCCAGTGCTGGCCAGCACTAGCCGCCACTAGCCGCTAAGTCACGCTGACGCCGTGGTAGTCGCCACCCGTCACGGATGACACCGACAGCCTCTTGGTGCCGTACAGCTCAGTCATAAGCTTGCCTCGGCCCGCAACAGAGCAAGACTAATGCTGAAGCTTCGCGTTTGTCGAGGGAACCAGGAGGCTTTCAGGATTCCGCACCCACTACATGAATGCGACCAAGGCGACTTATGACCCTTTCTTGATCTGCCTTTTGGCAGCACTCCATCTGAGCAAAGACCCCTGGCAGAAGCACGGGCCAAGCGCAAAGCTGCCTGTCCAACCAGCGATTCTTCGGGCCTCGAGTCGGTGACCAACACAGAGAACATGTCTTCAGGCTTGCCGAACACCAGTCCTTGGCGACCATTTTGCTCGTATGGTTTTAGCCTATCGCTGGTCAATTTCCTAAACTGATGGACTGCCAGGAGTCCGTAACGTACTGAGAGAAGTGAGCCAAGTCCCGGAAGCTGTTCACTTTCTTGTCAAAGTTGTCCTTACATGGGTCATCCTGTCGCTTGCTGCGGTTGACTCTCAACAGACACCTTTACTTACAGTTAGGCCCCGCTAGCGAGCAACTCCAACTCAAAGCAGCTCCCTTTCCCGCTGGTACGCGTGAGAAAACACTCGAGCCACGGGACGGCATAGCAAAGAAATGAAGCGTCGGCATCGCGGCGAAAGGCATCAACCAGGCCTTCTGGCTTGTACAGAGGCAGGTGGCTACCTTCACCTGAGCAGGGCTGTCGCGGAAGAACAAGTCTAGTTGCTCCCATGCGTGGCCTGTCAATGCCTGTCATAATCAAGAAATAATCGATGTGCATTCTGCCACTGCGCCTGTCCAGCTCTTGACGCGCAGGGTATCTTTGGAGCTGGCGAATTCGATCTCCACTTGGATGGGCAGCCGAGCAGAATCGACCCGCAGGAGTGCGCAAACCAGTTCTCCATACCTCAGAGTCACGCAGAAACGCGATTCTGCATGGTTGGGCCTCTTGAGTCTTCACTTTGGGAAAAGTTCCAAGTGACCTTGATTGGGGGAGCTGCAAACATCTACCAACGAGGTTGCGCAGGAAGTCGCTGGTCACGGGCATCCGCGTTCAGCGAAATGCAAAAGCGGGCATGGAAGAGCTCTACTCGAGTATCGTTGCGTGGGTTGCAAGAAAATGGGCACGTTGTGTTGTAGACTTTCTGCTTGAAGGCGAAGCGCAACAATGCGCAACAGCAGGATCGGGACTCCACTTGACAAATGCGGGATCTCAGATCAGGGACTTTAGTCCCTGGAGCTGGCTGGCTTGGACTTCTGGAACAGATAAGGCACTGCCCGAACTCGCGCCGCAAAGCCCGAAGCCCCAGGGCCTGAACAGCGCGCATGGTATGGGCACTACATATTTACATGCACGCTCGAGAGTCCCATGATCTTGTTAAAGCTTTGGTGCTAGTCTTGCCCGTAGACAGTGCAAGCACAAAGGTGCTTCGCTCAGGAGGTTTCCACTTGGTTTTTGCAACGTAGATGCCTCGTGCCCTCTCCACGCACAACTCAGATGACCACATGGTCTGTGCAACGGCCGAGACTGCACGATCTTCATGAAGAAGTGGGAATTCGTTCAAATACGTAGCAAAGCCAGAGGATGCAGACTGTTGACAGGGCAAACCTAAACCCAAAACCTAATGCCCAAATCGCAAAACCAAAAATTCAATTTGTAAATCCAACAATCAAAATTGTAACCACTCTGACTGTGCAGCACCCTAAACCCCAATATTCTGTATCCTGCCATATCTTATCTACCAGAAAAGGTGTGCTTCCACTCAGCCCGCCTCTGCACCCTCCATAACCCGGAATTGGACCCGGGGCTTGCCAGGCGCCATGGCATTCCATGAAGGCCATGAAGCAGAGATGCAAAGACTCTTTGACAGTTCTGCAAATGCGGAGCAAGGCTGAGCTTGTCCTTCAAGGAGATGGATGTCTCTTTGCTGTGTGCACCGGATGCCGCTACGGGCCTAAGGGCCTCAACGCGCATCACCTCAAAGCCACGATGATCAGTCAACCACCATTACCTGGTTCTTGTTGGGTGGTTTCAGTGCTCGGTCGGGACAACCTTCCCGGTCCAGGCTGTCATGACTCTTGGCGGAAGTCCTCAGCTGCATCTTGTCCTGCCTTGGGAGATGCTGCGCCTCGGCTGTGGTGTTGTCACTGGAGTCGGTTCCAATGCTCAGGCGATTGGTGGTCTGCTCTCCGAAGATTTGGAGTAATTAATAATTAGCTACGCCCCAGAGTGGGGCAGTGCTCTGGCATCGTCAGTGTATCCAACCGAAGCTTCAAAACCTTCCGTGGCGAACCCCAAGCAGGCAGCACAAGGGCAGGAGTGTTTGGAGGCTGCAGAAGGCTCCCAGCTGGAGTGCAAACCGCTGCTTCCCATATCAGTCGCCCAGCAAATTAAAGCACACTTCTTTCACACTCACTATGAGGACAAGCAGCTCGTTTGAGATGCACTCTCCAAGAACCGATCAGCCTGGACTTTCGAGGATATGGCCTGGACGTTGGGGACCATGAAACAGCTCCATCTTGGACTCGCACGTACAACACTTAGGGAGTGTGAGGCCTCCAGGTTATCGCGTAAGTCAGAGTCGCTGAGCCACGGAAGCCATAATCTCCAACCACCTCAAGCTCTCAAGGTCTTGCCCACAGCCTGCAGTGGCTGCCGACGGTGACGACCGGGCTTCTAGCATGGTTGCCGTCCTTTGTGCTCAGATCTGCAGTTGTCTCTGGAGTTTCCTGGCGCTCGTCAGAGTTCAAAGGCGTTGGACTAGCGACCTGATGGGCAAAGCTGGACCTCAACCGGCACCGTCAGTCTGCCAATGAAATCGTTCTCAGACCTGGCGACGCCAGGTCATTACTTTCCAGCTTCGGGCTTTCACCTGTCGCGCGAGGGCTAAGGCTACAGGCTTGGACTTGTTTCTGCTAGCTGCTACGACGCTTCCGGGGTGGTACCGAGTAGCGAACTGCCGTCCGTCTGACTGTGGCACAACACACACGACACCTGTGCGCATTGCACTATTTGCAATGCTTGGTTTGTGGGTGCTTCCGACATCACGAGCGTGCTTCAACGGGGTTGCTGGATGCCTTGTTCAACGCCTGTCAGTCTGCAGAGGCCGCATGGCATGCATGAAAATAACAGGACAACAAGAAAGGGCTCCGGCTACCTTTTTCTCGCTCCAAGAAGTAACTCGAAGCGAACTTCTCTGGAGCTAGCTGTGCCTCTCTGGAACTGCCACAACACGAGCTGTGCTCTTGGACAGCGGCATTGAGTCAAAGTCGCAGAGCTTGAAAGTGATGATGGACCACCTGACAAGAAGGACGGGCTTCTGTAGGAAACGATGGAAGATTGCTGATTCGAGTAAACAGCGACATTTGTGGAATGGGCAGCCTCGTGGTGCAGCTGAACCTGTGCTTGTAAGCTCTTGCTGCTTCCCAAGCGAGTCGATCCTTAGCTCGTCTTGAGCCCAAGCTGGCAGATCCAAAGCAAATCTCGAGTCACTCTGGGCAACAAAACTCTCTTTCTAAACGCGTTAAGTGCGCCTGTCCCCCCTCAAGTGTTAAGCGGCTTCCGGCGTTAGGGCAAAATCTACAACCTTGGGTCTGCGTTGTCCTGTCTTGTGGCATGCTCGCTCTGCATCCTACTCCGATCTGGCTCCAGAACCATTCGGGGGGTGCGACACCGCTGAAGGTGGACCATTTGCGAACAGCTCACTCTGTGTTAAGAGACTCTGGTCTTACAACACACAGGCGGCGGAAAGTGGCAGCTCGACCGTGATTGCCAACTCGTGCATATGCACCCTATTGCATCCTTCACCACGGCCCTGCTGGAAGGAACGATGCTGAAAATGGAGCATGCAGGTGTCTTCAATGAAACATGTGTGTTTTTCGGCTCCCGCGGGAAACATGCGTTCAAATTTTCTGTTTTAGAGGAAAAGGCCGCCGCCATGGTGCTCCGAAACGAAGAGGATAATTAACAAGACATCATCATCATCATCAAGCAAGAGGACTGTGAACTATGACTATGCCACTATGCCTGTTTGTGGTGTCCATTGCGGCAGCTGCCGCACGCGCATCACGCCCCATTCATGCAGACCCCTTCGTGCACATTGGAAGCTTCCCCAACACACACACACAGACACACACTCAAAGCTCTGCCTGAATCACAAGTACTGACATGCCAAGCGCATGCGACCCTCGTTCAACAGCCTGGCTCGTTCATCGACTCTCGGTCATCGGTCAGGACATGTCGCGGTCCTGCTTGAGCATAGAGCTCTTTTCGAGATCTCCCAAAAGCTGTACACAGAGGCATCGCGAACTTTGTTCGTGGAGAGGTGGCCCTGCAAGGTCTCTGTCTTCACAGATCGGCGCTGAGATGTAGCTCGCTGTAGTTAGCGGGCGTGTCGATGTGACACATCTCAACAGAAGTCTTCACTTGAGGACAGGTGGTATGGTTCCGCTGGCATGGTTGTCTTCAGAGTTTCCGGACATGAGACTCAGACTTGGCAAACAAAAGCTACAACCTACTTTGAGCTAGACATGCAAAATCAGGCGTTACTCAAACCCAAGTCTTCGAGACAGAGAGTAAAGAAGAGGGAAAAAATAACAATAACAACATGTAGTACTGTCGCCCTGCGTGTGCGCGCCCGTAGCAAGGTGGTTACTGCTTACCGGAAAGCCAACAACGGTGCGCCTGTGGGGTGTTCCCTTACAGGATGGAGCCCGCCACAGGCCCAGACAGGAGCAAACAGGCATCCGAAGAGAGCGAATAGACAATTGAGCCTTCTGAGGACGTGGCAACGCCGCCCATGTAATATCTCCAGAACTCACCTCTGTCATGCTGGTCCTGACAGCATGCTGCGCCAATGCAGGTCTAAATTGGATAATGTGCGTGACAAGCTGAAAGAGATGTTGGAACAACCCGTAGCAAAAGATTACCCAAGCCTTCTCACTCAAAAGACTACCCAAGCCTTCTCACTCAGAAGCATGTGCTTGTCCATGGTGTTGAGTTCAGAACGTCCCCAGTCCTCGATGAGAGTGAATGCTCAGCGCTTCAAGTGTTGGTCCGCGTCCGCTTCGGCAGTTTCTCACAAGGCTCAACCCTCCACAATCCAGCAAAAGGATCCTGCAAAAGAAACGTTGTGGCAATCTTGTGGTCTGTTGACCCTAAACTTGCCTGGTCTGGTGCATCAATGCTTGGAGCCCAGCAAATGTGTGGACTTGTGTTGACTTTCGGACTTCCTCCTTGGCGCAGAAGCTGTCTCCGTCTGCCCCGCCGGTCCGTTCTGTGAAGGACACACTGAGGCTTGTGCTTCCCCGGCGGACCGAGAAGGCAAGCGGCCGCAGTCGAAGCCGAGGCCAACAGAGCTACCGATCCTGGGAGCAAAACGAGGATCTCGCCTACTCGTTTAGGTCTGTCCGACAGGCTCCCCGGCCACTTCTGTGGCACTGGTGATCGCCTGCACCTTGGGGGCGAATCTAAGGGCGAGGTTCTGATTCTAGGCCCGAAGTCTCGAGCGCCGAGCGCGACAGACAGTCCGGCAAGCTGACGAACTACTTCGTGGGCCACCAACTCGGCAACCTTGGGCTTCAGGCTTTTGTCGTGCAGACGTTGCTCAGATAAGACACCGCTGAATCAAAATAACTACCAACTGGACAGCTTTCTCGCTCTGGCCTCGGTCGTGCACAGCTGATGATCCAAACTGGCATCGTCGATGTCCTGTGCAGCCGGTACAGTACGTCGTCAACGGCCCTCCGGAACCCCCGTGAGCAAAACGAGGATCTGGGCACCTGGCAACTGGCTCCTGGTGCACATCCCAAAAATGCACCAGCATTTCAGCCTTAGGCGAGTGAGGGAGTCTGAGACGTGCACAGACTCATAGCACTCCGCAAGAGATCATATCTGTGAGCTTCCGTGACGGTGCTAGAAGCAGCTGTTGCCATGTGTGGCATCATGCAGCGTCGGTATTCCTCGACGGCAGGTAAGAATCAAGATGTCGCGTCAACACCGCCAACAAGACGTCCACCGATCTTCAGGAGTGAAGGTTGCACCCAATGTTTTGAACACCAACAACACTCAACCAAATGCAGAAGAAGTGCAGTCTTGAAGAGGAGGAAACTTAGGGCCGTGGTGGCAAGAATACTTGCAGCTCATCAAGCAGGCTCAAGCCCTGTACTGCTGTCATTCGCTGGAGCATCACTCGAAGGGCCTGCGTGTCGGAGTCTTTGGAGTGGCGAATACTTAGGACTTAGGACAACTCTCAACTGATGTGCCCTGTTCTCGGCACCTTCTTCGCCATTTTGGCATTGCCAGTCATCCCAATGTCAAGCAAGGGGTCCTGCCAAGATCTGCTAAGCTCCACCCTTTCAAGTGCCCCCAGCACGAGGGAAACGATCAAGAGCCGACCCCCGGAACGGAATGTGCATTGCAAGGCATTGCAAGTTTCGAGGCCAGTCCATTGATTCCAACGCAGGCGGTCGCCCATCGAAGCCCTGGCAGTTGACACGACATGAGCTGTATGACGATAACCCCAGCGCCGTGTGATCCTCACAGCTCAGGCCTCTAGTCGAAAGCCCTCGCAACTGGAGTTGGTAATGCCATCCTCAGATGGTTGGGCAGATGTGATCTCGATTTCGGTTTTCCGGCAGCGAGGCTTGCCGAAGAAGCTCCACACGCAAATGACTCCCGAAGCGCCTTTCGTGCTCCGGCAGGTCATCGTGTAACACTGCACGAACCCGCTGTTGCAACCGGAGGTACTGCTGACACTGGGCGTCTCGCCAGTAACAGCTGCTGCTGTGGCCAATTGCGAATTCAGGTTGGAAATTGAACGAGTGCAGAGCAGGCAGTGTCTGCCGTGACCCATCGCACATCGTGCAAACGAGGAATGCCCTGCGATTTGTACACTCCAAGGCCCCCAAATCCAACTCATCGAATCCGCAAGGTCATGAAGGTCATGATGGGTCCATCGCCCTGCGCAGGCAAAGTTTCTAAGGCAGTGAGTTCACTGATCCTGCGCCGCCTGTGGCAAATCGATACTACCAGTACTTGAATATACTACCGAGCACCTCCCCAGCCACAGGGTGCTCGTAACTCGGCCTTTTTGTGACGGCTCCGCAAGCCCTAGCTTTCCCAATTCAGGGATGCATAGGGGCTCGTCTGAGCTGACTGGTGAGACTTGCGACACTTGCATGACTAAGCGTCCAGCTTACAGGGCAACTACGATTCTGATGGTGCGCATGCCCATGGGGCGTCTTCCTGCAAACCTTGCTTGATGTTTTCAAGCTTGGTACATGCATCTGTTAGCTGCTCTGTCAAGTTCGGGATCCGGGAAATATCTCCAGCCAGTGACTGCTGTGAGACGACCTGTAGCAACTGCCGCCAGAATTTGTCCACTCTACGGAATGTTTGGATCTCGGCCGGCATCTGCCGGTAGATGTCTCTGCCGGTAAAGAATGGCTCCAAATGCTTCCACAAAGTCTGCAGCACGACCAAACGCTCCAAAATTCCGAACATGCGGCCCAGCCACTCCTCCCAATCCTGTAGCCTTGGCAACAGAGCCTGGACATGCGAGGACCTCAACATCTCGCCGGTTCGCGACTGATGATCTCTCACCACAGCTTGCAGCTCCTCCAAGCATCTCTTCGAGACAACGAAGGTTCCATTGCTGGGCTCAAGATCAAACCGAAGACCTCGCCATTCTTCCTCCATCGTGTCCATTCCGAGCTCTATCGCATGTTCCTTGGTTGCGCCGTCGCTCAACTCTTGCAGCTCCTCAGTGTAGTCGCCAAGCTCCATTTCAATAGCCTTGGTCAGCGTGAAGCTGTTGTCCGGTTCCAGGGGAAAGCCGATGATGCTGGAAATCTGCTCCCAGTGGCGAGCTTGCAGGCACCGGTTGCACAATGAATAGAGCAGCTTAAGGTGACTGTCGTGCATGACAGCAGCTTGCGAACTCAGCTGCTGAGCCACCAGTACTGGCATAGGCAGCACCTTGTCTTTGTCATCCTCGTCATCATCAACGGTCTTCAACTGAATGTTTAAGGCCATCTCATCAGGGTAAACGCGGCCGCCGCCAGCAAGAAACACCTCTCGCATTCGCGCGGCCTCCTTTCTCATTCCCCGAACTTCGACTTCAACCTTTGCAGGATCCAAACTGAAAAGGGGGCCTTTGAGCCAGGCTCTCATACTGCGATCCATGTTGTAAGCCAGAGTCCAGAGCGAATGGTAAGGCTCAAGGGCCTGTTCGCCACGCTTCAGCTGCTCGAAAGGGCTCCTTACTTCCCAGCCAAAGCGCCTCTCTTTCGCATTCAGCTTCTCAGCCTCAATATGGGCCTTGCTAAAGTTGTTTTTTAGTGCTTGAATTCGCTCTAGATATTCGTCGACCTGCCGCAGATTCCCACAGTCCTTGAACTGCTCCACTTGCGCGTTGTATCCTTCCAGGTCCTCCAAGAATTTGTTCCGCTGCTCTTTGAACTTACTTTCGAGAGCTTCGCGCTCTCGCTTCAAATTCACCTCGCGCTCGCAGACTCTCTCGTTGATGGAACTTACCCAGATGGCTGAGTCATAAATGACCTGGAAGTGCCGCTCTTGCAGCAATGTGAGGAGTAGCTCGTTTTCGCAGCGGAAGAGGAAGGACAGCCACTCACGGATACTGTCGAACTCCTTGAGGAGCTCTTGCAGTCCTGAAGCCCGAAATTCCTCCACGTACATCTCCAGGTCGACCAGCTCCATCTCGGACGTGGGCTTTTTCACCATCTGGTTGACGACCATCTCGAAACTTTTGCACAGCTGCTCGTTTCTGGACAAAAGGTTTCGGAGGACGGCCTCCATGAGGATGTGTATGGCGTCCTCCGCCTTGCAACAGAGTGTCTCGTTGATTTCAGAGCAATGGATTGACACCATTGGTAAATAGATCTCCTCGAGGCTGTGTGCGCGGATAGTGGCCTGAGTGGCTCGTAGAGTCTTCACCTCGTGCATGACGTGCTCCTGCGTCAAGGAGTCCTCTGGAGCAACGGAGGGCGAAGCTCAGGCTCGAATATAACTCAAGGTTTGAAACACCTACGCAGCTACGAAGCTACTGGCATAGGATGCCATAGGTCTCTTGTTATTGAATTCACCTTACAGAGAGACGTGTTTGGTCTAGACCAATCCTCCGAGAGCTTCTTGATTCGCGCATCTTCGACGAGAAGATGCTTAAATGCATCTAAAGGTGCCAGTGCCTCAATGAGGGCCGCCAGGTTCTTGCGCATCGTCAGTGCGACCCTCTCCCCTGCCTGCTGGACATAAGTCTCTTCAAGTGAGACGTTCCAAAGTTTGACAGAGTTATGCTCGTTATAGCGCGCCGGGAGCCTCAGGTCGTTCAAACTCACCACGAAGTTCTTGAAGACTTGCAGCAGGCAAATCTCTACCTCCTCTAAGGAAGTTGTAAACTTGATCTCCGGGCCATCGGCTTCGAGCCCGACCCAAAGGAAAGCCTCATTCTCTCGGCAGCCAAAACGGTCGAAGAAGCTCACGAAAGCATCGATGCTCTGATCCACCACGCTCCGCAATTGGATGCTCAGCAAGGTGAAGGGGAAAGTATCCTGGCTCTGCTCCAAGATCTCCATTGCTTCCAGAAGCCACTCTGTTTCTAAGCAGTCTCGAACATGCTGCATCTTTTGAGCCTGGGCTCGACAGAAGGACTGCAGGTCCAAGAGTGGGCTGCCAGGCTCGGGCAGATCCACCAAGCGCAGGTGGTGATACTTGCGAAACCAGAGATCCAGAAGCCGTAGCGATGCAGCGCTGCACGGGAGAAGATCTGTTGCCTCCTTGATAGCGTTTGCTATACTCTCCCAGTTCTCAGGCAGGCCCCCGGCTGTACCCTCAATGCCGATGAAAGGCTGCGTGCCCCACAAAGGAACTGGATTGGGTACAAACAGCACTCCCGTCCTTTTCCGAAGCTGTTCACTGAGAGCATGTTCAGCAACCACTTTTCTGAGCGCACCATGGTACTCCTGCAGAACGTCCTGCCACATCTCATTCATCAGATCGCTCGCTTCTGGAAGATCACCCAAGCTTTGCTCAACCAGCCGCAAGATGTTGTCCGTCCAAGCTTGACTGAATGGCGCGAAATATGAGGTTGGAATGGTTTCCAGGTAGTGGTGATATCGGTGCAACACTTCGAAAAACTTGAATCGGCTGATCTGTGCTTCTCGTATCTCTTCGTCCATCGGAGAACCGTCCAGGATCGTTGCAAAGTTCGTGGAGTAATCAACGCCAATCTCCACGAGGGTATACTGGCACTCTGGTGGCAACCAGCGCAATGACCTGCAAGATGTACGGGAAGGGTCATTAGGCTGAAGGGCTGCAATCCAACCCCAAACCCTGCCTGGCAGGAACGCCGAAAGGCTTCCAAGTGAGACGTGCCGTCTTCGTGAAGCTGGTGGCAATGCGGCTGCTCACAGAACCGGGATCATCTGCACCCGTGAACGGGGCGGCCTATAGAGGCGAAGTCACTGCTAAGAGCACCATGAGTCATGAGTACTGTGACCAGGTTTCGCTTCCCGCTTCCCTCTCCCTCGTTTGTGATCCCTTCTCATCTTCTCACTCCTCACAGCTGAACAGCCTCGAGCTCATGCAGAGGCTGTTTGTCTCACGGACGGTTTAATCTTCGAGCTACAATTATAAGCGACCCGAAATCCCAAACACTGTCCTTCTTCCGTCGGGCCGGGGGCAGCACGACGGTCCGTGCAGAGCAAGTCCCTTTGTCAGCCGTCCTCTGGCCTGAGGACGTGGGCGGCACTTTGCCACCCCTTCAGCATTCACACACGGAAGCTACTGTCCCTCTCTTCTGTAGCACAGATGGAAGGCGGGTCGAGCCTCTTTTTCTTTCGGAAGGGCACAGAAAGAAGGAGCGAATTGAATGGGTAATGGGTAGCAGGCAACCTGTCACTCTCACTCTCTCTCTCTCTTCCTTCTTTCTTTCCTTCCTGCCATGCTTCCTTCATTCCGTCTGAGTTTGGGGGTCAGGGCCAGCGGGCGCGCCCCACAGCGCGCACGTGAACACATCACCAGTTGGTTCAACAATGAACAAACACCCCCAAACCTCACTTACATCTAAGAATCTGGCTAATTAATGATGACATTCACCGGGCACGGCCGTGTTGTGGTGGCATCGTCTCACGCTGGGGCAGTGGGCAAAGAACCGTAATTGTACTTTACGCTCCACAACTTGGACAAGCCAGTCGAGATCTCACAGTTTCTTCTGGTGCCCCGTCGGTCGTGTCAGGAGGTGGTCCCCGGCTTGTTTTAGTTAGTAGTAGAAGAGGCTTTCGGGTCGGATGCCTTCACCTGCTGTCGGCTTGGGTACAACTGGAGATTGATAGGCTGTCGTGGACCCCCGACCCTGTACATCCCTGTACGCTCGCGCACTCCCAACAGGCCTTCTCTTCCATGCTTCAGAGCTAAGGCACTTATCTCTCTTTCTTTCTTTCTGCCGCACTTCTCTCTCGGTCTTTCTCTGGTGAGGTGCGATGAGTCGCCTTTGTGCGGCTGAAGTCGTTGAGCAGGTCGGGGAAAGTCACCGGCTGGCTTGGCAAAGACTTGAACATCTTGGCCTCAGTCTGCGGTCGCTTTTGCGCACTTGGAGGCCTCAGCGGAACAAGAGGCTGGGACAGCCAAGAGCTCTCGGTTCTTGCCTGCACCAGTGTCCTGCCCCCACGGCCGGTTAGCCTCACTTTCCTCTCGATGGCCGACAGATGCTTGCGCAAAGGTATGGTGGCTTCGAAAGCGGACTGCGAGACGCAGCGCTCGGAGGACTGCGGCCGAAAATTGAGCTGTCTGTTGTTGCATATGAAGCATCCGAGAGGTGCGAAACTGATTGCTAAGCTCCCTGTCGTCGACATTTCCTGCCCCATGCGAAATGTCATGGCGGCAAGAGCCTGCTGCACAATGTCCTTGCCAATCTCTAACACCCTGGCAACGGCTGAGACTGAATGCTTCACTCGAGGGCAGAGCTCCTTCTCAACAGCCAAGCTAGAGACGTCCAAACCATGCCGACAAAAGAACTCCGCCACGGGTGCAAAGGCAACCTGCGAGGGCTCAGCCCTCAAGAAGCCGAAGGTGCCCAAGCCAGGACAGAATATGCGTTTACCGCCTTCCATCTCCTTGGAAATCGACAGTGCCGTGCTTTCCCAAATGCGCAATACCAGTTCTGGTCCCTTCAGCGGGTGCCCCACCGCTTGCGCAACACTCTTGGAGCAGTCATATGCAAGATGCTTTGCACCGAGATCTGCATCGGCCTCAGTCAAATCAACTTTGGACCTGGGAGATGGGGACGGACTAAGCTCATCTGCCCGAGCGGTAACGAGTCTGTTTGGACTGCGCCCCTCTCTCTCGAGGTCCTGCGACACCTGGGACTGAACGCTGGGACTTCCATCGCTGTCGGTCGACATATCTAGCCATAGAGATCAGCAGATCGGCGCTCGCTACAAAACCCATGGTGAGACATCCTGAAGCCAAACGCGGAGAGTGGGATGCAAGATGATGCAAGCAGGAACCAGGAATCCTGAAACTAAAAAGTCATGTGGATGCTTGGACCGAAGCAACGAATCAGAGGGACAACTCTGAACGACCGGTCCAGTCATGCCCTGCCATGTCCCTGCACACTCCGCGGCCTCAAACGGTGGGCCCCAAACATGTCCCCAGCTGGCATGCTGCATAGGAAAGCTGGTGCTGTCATCGCTGCCATTACTGAACTTGCCGCATGTCGCCAATGCATCGAGTCCAAAGACATGCTATCTACCACACAAGCATTCAGTTCGGCGGACCAAAGATGCGGGCAGGCAAACAGACATGCTCGCGTAACGAAGCCTTCCTGTCGGGGCAGGTCACAAGGAAACGTAAGCCCCTGGGCCGCTGGCCACCAGACTTTGACGCAACGCAGCAGCCCGGGACTTTCCTTGCCAGCCAGCCTTACCGCCATGAATCGGGATGCTTTGCATGCCGGCAAAAAAGGCAGCTCGTTGCCTGCGCTGTTTTTTGGCCGATCTTTATATCCAGAAGCCGCAGCCTGCAGTGCACCAGAAATCGACCTCCAACACTGCATCTTGCAGGCCCCGGCTTGGAGCATCCACACCGCAGATTCCGCATGACCTGTACAACAGTCTTTGCACACCGACTGGGTCGGTAAACAGGATAGTTCTCCCGTGCGAGGGAGGAGCGGTCCCTCCGTGACTCTGACTCCGGCATCTCCGGCAGAACATGCTAAGTAAACCGCTAGGAGCTCATTTCGCTTCTCTTCCGACGGCGTGAGCTCCTGCACAGCTTGAATCTCAAGTCCGCAGCTCAAACGACAAATCATCGATCACAGGCGCGGTGCCGTCGCGCGTCGTGAGTTCGATCCGGAGATTTTCGGGATTTCTTGATTTTCTTTGCTTTTGTCTCACAATATTTTGAAAAGAAATTGTAAATTATTGGGGAGTTGAAAGACCTCCAGCCATGTCTTAAGTCATATCTGTCGGGGGAACTGGATATGGGCCTTCCCCCGAACCGGGCGCCTAGTGACTTGACTAGGTGGCTGCTACAGTAGTGGCACAACGGCCCTCAGCGTCAAGCGCAGGTCCTCCGTGCAGCTGAGAACTCCAGCATATTCCAGCGTGTAGCCTGCACGGGTCACAACCGTCTGTCGCAATGGTTGGGAAAGGGAGCCGTCCGAGCCCTGAGCCAAGAAGTGGCTCCAAGCCGCTTCCGTGTCGAAGACTCAGAGCCTCCACGCGAACCCGAACTTCGATCCGAGGCAGCTCTGTATGACAGACTTCGGCGACAAGCTTCTTTGGTGCAAGCGCGCCAAGATGATGCGTGTCCCATAGGTGCAGAGGTGCATGCAACCCCAGCTCCCTCACAGCACGCAATGGTCCGAGCCCGGTCCTAGGTCTCTTCCTCCACACATGCTGCTGTCTATAGTCTAGAGTCTAGAGGAATGCCGCTCATTGCCCATCAAACGCAATGGCTTGTCAGAGCTGCGGAGCCGTTTTACAGCTGACACATGATTCATCACTAATCACTAGTCACGAGTCAGCCATCAGCCCTCGCGAAGCACCTCCTCATAGAAATTCACCTCATCCTCCGCATGGCTCAAGTCCTTGCCTCAAGCATCCACATGCTTCCAACTGTGGACTAGAACCTGCGTCCGCGTCCGACGAACCTAAACCAGAAGATCCACCGCGCTGCCGACAGCGCACTGACCGCAAAGCTGCAAATGCCAAGAGTGCAGCCAATGAAATAGTCCACGGGCCTCACAACACCAACCATGGCACGCTACTCGACTCGGAGATCCCGTTCTTGGAGCTGGGCCGTGCAGCAGTGGGTTCTTTCAGGCACAACCTGATTCCAAAGCTGCCGGTGTGCAGATTTAACAACCAAGGTTCCCTAACTGCCGCGACTTCGGGAGCATCAGGTCATTAGGAGCTGCTTGCTATGGCGATGCGCCGCATCGCTTTGCGATCATGCTGTTTCTGTAAATAAAGGTGCGGCGTACTGCGCGCATGCTATTGCGAGGCTCGGTGCGTCGATGCTTCCGGGACTATACCTGGCCAGGGGCGTTGTGCTCCGACACACGGAGCACAGTCTGCTCGACCAGCACCTCTTGCTGCAGTGAGAGTTGCCAGCCCTCCAGATACCACACAGAAAGGCACGGTCATCACCTGCATCCCTTACCAACAAGAGCGTGATATCGGTTTAGCATGAGACTCATTGCACTCAGCATTGCAAACATGAAGCTGCTAGCTGCTCTGCATTGCACCGTGCCCAAAACCATCCCACGATCTGAGCGCATCACCTGAAGAACGCCGCGCTGCCACCGGAGACTCCAAGTCTCTCGACTTTGGCATCGAAGCGGTTGGGACTCAGTGGATTCACTAGCAGCACGCAGACTGAAGCATGAAGCATCACCCAGCAGAAACCCCCTTAATCCCTGAATGTTCTAAGGTCTCCACTCCACGCGCGTTAAGTGGAGCCCAGCCTGCCGAAGCCATCGTTACACCGAACAAATCGCCATGCTGCTAGGGGCCTGGGCATCGCCGGGTTGCCTGCTCACTAGCAAGGCCTGCCAAGTCGTCGAAGTTGCTGCGACCCCGCTTCCAGTCTCAAGTAGAACTCGCAAGCCTTTCGGACCAGTTTTGAGCTCTTTTGCGCTGGCGGAAACTGGAGGCTGTCCCTTCGACGAATATCCTCCATATGACCTCAGGCCCTCAGGCTCACACAACCGAGTCTGACGATGTCAGAAGTGGTGAAAGTATTGGCAAAAGGGGAGAACAAAACCATCCCGAAATATCAATGAACAGATTGAAAATTTCTGCACGAGCAGGAGGCTTGACCCGGCCGACATGGCGACTGCGCTCGGTCCACTCAACTAGAAAATGATCACTGCCTCCCGCAATGAAACCTTCCACCCGCTGGAGGGGCGTTTGCAGAGACGCCGAGCTCTGAATGCTTCCTTTCCCGTCCACTCGCCCTCAATTGCAGTTCGGCGTCTCCAAGGGTGACATTGGCACGCCATCAAACCATGGCCTTTCTGTTTGTGTAGGAATCAAAAGGCGACATGCCCTGAAGGCTTTGAGGACGGAATGAGAAAAGCTGGATCACTCGAAGTACAGTTCTCTGGCCAGAGAAGAGGGCGGCTGAAGCGACAGAGTTGCGCCAACCAATGCAGCTTCAACATTCCAGGCAGAGCAAGCTTTGCCTGCTCCCAGATTATGACATTAGTGATTCGTTTGTCTTTTGCGGCCTCTGCGTGCCCGTCTTTGTCACGCAAGGCGACTGTACTAGCTGTTCCTGTGCTGCCTCTTGTGGCAAGAAAAGGTCTGTGCCCGTCTGAATTGCAACAATGCAAAGCCCTGCGGCTGTTCACAACGAGGAACTTCCGTTCTCGGAAGTCTTGATACCTGGCAAGACTGGCCGGTGCATGCTCTCGCTACCATGCAGGCTGAGAGAAAGCATATACACTGAATCCCGCATTGCAGGACATACACATGATGGCAATGATGCCTTCTTCAGTTCCATCATTCTGTTCTGCGTTGACGGCAACCACAGCAGCAGCAGCAGCAGCACTGCCATTACGATCGCAGCCACGGACACCATTACCACCATCGACAAGGACACGAACAAGTACAATCACAACAGCGAAGAGGACGACCACGACAACGGTGACAACGACGACAACCATCACCACAAACAAAACCACAACCACATCAACAACCAGCAATCCACGAAAAACAACCCGCAACAACCATAACAACAACAGCAGCAGCAATAGCTACAGCATTTCATTCACACGCAGCGGGAAGATATGTCTCGGGTGAAACTGATAGTCCACGCTTTGCGAGTGTTCGACCTACAGCTCTGCTGATTACTAGCGCGGTTCACTGCTTCACGGCAAGCCGGGCCTCAGCACTGCACTTGCACACGTTCCGCCCTTCAAGGCTGCAAACTGTGAAGCTGAAAGGAGTTTGCCGTCGGAGGCTGGGTAAGCCCTATTTTTCTAGTCACCTGCTTGGATAGGCTGACTGGCAGATTTGCAATGTTCCCCGAGCTGACACTTACGCTGGAATTTTTGCACCCCGTAGCTGTCTCGAGTGTGTCATCTAGCCTCGCTGTGAAGGCTCCGTGCGAACCACTAGTTCAACGTTGAAAAGTAGGCGATGCGGCAGGGAGACCCTCAGCAGAGGTAGGCCAGGTGCCATCTCCAACTCGTCCGTTGTGATCACCGCTGGCGGAGCAATTCCTGCCGGGCTTGTGCTCGTCACATGCAGCTCTCCCGTTCCCTAGAGGTGACTGCCTTTGGCGGCGGAGGCCCCAGGGGAGGACCTCCTCCTGGGATTCCCACTTCGGCAGATGCAGCTGAACCTTTACCTGGCCCTCCTGAAGGTCGATCAGTACTTGAGCCACGTCCTGGAAGATTTACAGGTACTGGTGGTGGTGGTCCCTTCGCTGCAGAGGCCTCCGGTTCTGCTGCTTCTTCAGAGTCTGACTCCCGAATGGCGTCGCTTGATGGTGGTGATCTGGGAAGGTGAGTGCGGCGCCTCACCGGAGGAGGAGTGCGAGAGTTCGCCCTGGTGCCATGATTTTTCGGCGTCTCTGGCATCACTACGAAGAAAAACAGACAGCTGTTGAGTTGAGCCTGCATTCAGGAAAGAGGAAAGCCTGCTTACAGGAGAAAGAGTCCCTAGTCACAGACAGCAGGCCCGGCAGCTACTTGAGACCGAGACCAGGCAAGGAGCTGGTAGCGGGACCTCGGACTGCAGATTCTGTGAGGGGCTGCTGATGCTGGCAGATCTAACCGTTCCGATGCTTATTTGTCGACATGCCTCACATGCGGTATCAGTCTGGGGAGCATCTCCACCTGTGAGGGAGAAGCTCCTTTCCACGAAATCAAAGCGGCCTGTTGTCGCCTCCGTATTTCGTGCCTGATTTCAGGCTCTGGTAATACGCGATGGCTGAAGGAGGCACTTCGTTGGGGGTGAGGATCACGCCGTTTTTGCTACGGAAAAATTTCACCCCTCCTGAGAAGCCCTCAGAGGGTTGACCGCCACTAACATGGAGGAGCTTTCCCTGAAGCCAGAGGTGCCCGGTTGGCCATAATGTCTGTCCGAGATGAAGTGGATATGTTGGCGTCCCTCCCTGCCGCGACCTCCTTTGCCACGGCCTTTGGAGATCTTACACTGCGGCAGCAATCCTTGCTGCCGTATCGGGTCATACAGGGACCAATATCTACCATGGTACAGCATTGCGGGGAGCATCTCCTCCGTGAGTGCCTCCAGAACCTCAGTAGAGTCAACATCGGAGCGCGAATGCCCCTGCACTGCCCGAATATACTTCGTGCCATGGCTGTCCCCCAACTCATATCTGCTTTTTGAGTTGTGGCGAACAATTTCCATAATGTCCCCCGCAGACGCATGCTGGCTGTGTACGCGAGGCCACGACAGCACATCATCCAGCTTTGCCCATCCTGCTGTGGAGACGGAAATATGAGGCCTGTGACCGTGCCTCAGACAGGCCGCCAACGCTTTGGATACCTCAAATGAAAATTTGGTATCTGGGTTGGTGGAGTCCTCGCTGTAGTCACCTAGTTCTCCTGGCTGACCCTCCCATGCCATAATGGAGGATCCCCTTGGCGTGACCGAGGATGAAGCTTGAGGGTGAAGATCGTTACCCCCAGCTGTCGGGGGAGAAGCTCCACCCTTTGACCCACTCGCAAGCCCCTTATCCGGAAGGGGAGTAACTCCTCCTTCCTTTCGTCTTTCAGATGACGGGACATCATTGGAAAGGTCATATCCCAGAGCTGTAAAGGAGTCGCGAGTCTGCTTGAGTGGGATCTCGAGCATACCGCTCCACTCGCGGAGGTACTCTCCTAAGGAGAGGGCATCCTTTGTCGAGATTTGGAGCAGCACCGCTCGGATTTTCACCGAGTCAAAGGAGTGGATAAGTTGGTTTGTCTTCTTGCCGCGTTTTTGCGAACCAGAGAAGGCAGCTTCCACCTCAATCATAGGCCGGACGAAGATGCGCCGGGGACCTATCCGTACCAGAGAACTGTAGCCAGCCGCGAGATGCCTATTCGAGGCTCTGTGGAGATACACCCCTGGTCGGTCCTCGAAACTTCTTGTGCCGCCGAGAACCGGCGTCGAAGGCAGGAGCCGTCCAGTGGCTAGGATCCCGTGCAAACATTCTAAATGTGTGCCGTGAAAGGCGACCTCACTGTCGCCAGCTGGCAGAATGTTCGGGGAGGAGTACTCGAATCTGTACCAGCCATGCTCATCCACTGTAGGGAAGCCAAGCTTCGGCAGCAATGATTCATTCGATAGACCTAGGCGAGTGGCAAGGAAGGTCGTGAGAAGAGCAGAGGCGATCTCAGGAGTCGGTCTTTCCGCCTGGGTGAGTCCATCACGTAGCTGCTGAGTCACGGTCACCGTTATTCGGTGATTGTTCAAATCGGTGATGGAGCCTGCGCAGTCTGATATCAGACTGTGAAAAGGGGTATACCCTGCAGCCTGCAGAACCTTGACCGCCTCCTCATTGTGATCTTCAAGAGCTTGCTGCTGAGAGGTGTCTGTTGAGGGAGGATCTCCACTCTTGGCTTTAGCTGCAGGGGGAGTTTCTCCGCCCTCACCATGCCCTGTGCTTCTCTTCTTAGAAGGAGGCGGAGGGGGAGTAACTCCACCCTTCCCAGTGACTGACTCAGTAGATTCTCCTGCGCCTTTTGAGGCACCCTTATGAGCCGGATAGCTTTCACCGTGGGCACGAGCAGAGCGCCTCCACTGGCGCAAAAAGTTTCTATATGTCACATGTGGCAATTGGTCCCTGACCCGCCGTCTGCAAAACTCGGCATATTCCTCCTTGAAGGATTGATCTTGAGTTCATTCGGGACGAGACATGATGCTGGTTTTCACTTTGAAAGAAAACCTGCGGGAATTGGGCATGAGCTGTCCGAAGGCTTCAGTCTGGAGCACAAGTGCAACCTGAGCTCCTGGCCTCCAGGGCAGGACAAGGGCCTGTGTCGACAGAAAGGTGAAGCTATGTTAGAAGTCACAGAGGCTCAACCGAGGGGACCTATTTTGCAATCTGCAACTCGATCATCTTGAAGCTCAAAAAAACCCCTGGGGAGAATCTCCACCAGCTGTACACCCCTGACTTGGGGAGAAACTCCACCTAGGCAAGGGGAGAAACTCCACCTAAGGGAGCATCTCCTCTAGATCTTGATCGCTCAGGCCGCAGATGCCATCAGCCTGTTGTAAGACACATCCCAAACTGCCGTAGCGAGATTGAGCTTCCGGTCCTCTTCAAAGAAGGTTGCCCGTAGTGCATCTACTTCCTGTAGATAGGTGGTACGGATGTCAATGGGCAGGTACTTGCTCACGTAGGAAATGATATGCGTTTCCCGCTCGCAAGCTTCGAGGTCAAACCGGTAGAGAGCGAGGCTCTCAGGAGCCACGAGCTCCCCCGTGCTCATACGAGCTATTGTCAGAAACTCTAGGCCCATCTCTGAAAGCACTTTGCGTCGGCGAAAGCGGATCTGAGCCCATTCTTCTACGCCGACTATAGCCTGAAGGT